TGCGTCCTTGGGCGGCTTGGTTGCGTCCTTGGGCGGCTTGGTTGCGTCCTTGGGCGGCTTGGTTGCGTCCTTGGGCGGCTTGATTGCGTCCTTGGGCCGCTTGGTTGCATTGGTTGCATCCTTGGGCCGCTTAGTTGCCTCCTTGGGCCGCTTGGTCGAGTCCTTGGGCCGCTTGGCTGTGTCCTGGGGCCGCTTGGAAGGGCTCAAGTTCGGCTGGCTCGCGGGGCGGGTCACAGACGGAGGCAGCGGCCTAGTCTGACCGGAGCCACTGGCAGACCCGTTAGCCAAACCATCGGCGGACCCGATCCCCGAGGTCTCGCCCGCCTTCGTGGCCACTGGCTTAAGCGGCGTCTCGCGTGCGGCAGGATCCAGACGCGGCCGCTTACCGGCCTCGTTCGTGGGACCGTCGCTTGCGCGCTTACGCGCCGAGGTACTCGATTTTGAAGGTTCACCTGACCGCGACTTATCCCGTTGCCGTCGAGATGGGGCCGCCGTCTCTCGCCCGGGCTCGATCCAGTCAGGATCGTCTTCACCTTCGTCTTCCGTGACCTCCTCGTCATCTAGCCCAAAGATTCCCTCCCATTCCTCCACCTCTTCCTCCTCTCCACCCTCCTCCTTGCCAGTGTGTCCCCCCTTCTTCCCCTCGTCCCCCCCTTCGTTCTCCTCGACGCTCAATTCTGAGATCTCGGCATCGCTCCGCTCTGCATTCTGTGCACTCTTAAAGTGCACAGCCTTTTTGGCTGGCGTGGGCTTGGACGCAGTCTTCGGCGACACCTCCTCACCCGCATGTGGCCGTGTCCGCGCGTCCCAAGCCGGCACACGCTTATCAAACACTGGTCGGTACTTGCGCATGAAGTGTTCTGCGCTGTGGTGGTTCGTCATCCCTTCCTGCTGTCAGCTGGGGTTGGAGAGACGCCATGACTCACAACCCTGGCCATGTGTTGGTAGAAGTCGATCTTGGGCCGGCCGTGGATATCGAAGCGCTTGAGCTCTGCCAAGAAGAGATCGAAGCGCTCCTGATCCTGCGCGACGACATAGCGCAAGTTGTTGGACATGGGGGGCCTGAGGTTGATGGTGGACGAATTCGTCTGGCACTTGGTATTGTGACTTGGAACCAAACGTAGCGGGAGCAGATAGACACGTAAAACGCCCCCATCACTCACGGACTGGGGCAGGGCGATGACGCAAGGCACCGCCAGTCCGCCATCGGCGGGGTATTTGGTTCAACTCGTCTTTTGACGGTCGCGGTGGTGGTAGAGCTGAGCATGGAGTTGGTAGGTGGACAGGTCTGAAAGCGTATCATCACATACCTGTAGAGGCGAGAAGAGAGCGGACGACCAAGCAGAGGGATAGACAGTGGTTATCGAAAATTATGTTCATTGCGAAGATTGAGGTGACCCCGTAGGACATGTTTGTGGCCTTGCCGAGCGGCGTGCGTAGGCTAACCAAGGTAACAGAAAGATGGCGGGAGAACAGCCAGCTGCAGAGATCTGCGGAAAGCCACCGTGCTCTGTAGGTCTTGTCCTTGCTTCTGTCGCGATCGGAGGCCCGATGGCTCGATGATTAAACTCTTACCTTCGGCTACCACGGCAAGTGGCTGGGAAGCAAGAGCTTGCATGCCAAGTTGGCAAACTCGACCCTCCTAATCTTGCAGCGCATGACTTGAACTCATGAGATTCTTTCGATCTTTCACCGGTCGCGTGCGAAGACATCCGTCATTGTGGTAAGTCTTGCCATGTTTCTGTAGTCGTTTTCACCTCTACATGCGGCCGAAAGCATACAACTAGTTCGGCACGATCAACACAGAGATTACACTGCTCGAGGGGGGTTTTGGCTGGCAAGGCTGTACTGTCGCTGCTGCAAGTCTTGAGCGTGCATTACTGGCGCTACAGGGAGATACCGGTGTCCAACCGCCACTCTCTTCTGCTTGCTTTCTTCCTTCCTGCTCTCGTCAAACCTCCATTCATTATCCATCATCGCTCTCTCCATCGCCCATTTTCTGTTCTCTGCGTCCCCTGGCTCCCCGGGCAGTCGAGTCGTGATGTCGACCATCTCCAACCCACTGAGCACCATGTCGTCCTCCTTCATCAACGCATCCGTCCCCAACAACCTCCCCTCGCCGTCGCCTAGTGTTCACCTCAATACCACCCTTCCTTCTCTGTCCCCCACGCCAACTTCAGCGCACCTGCACATCACCATCCGAGAAGGGCTGGCGTCCAAGAACCTGGCCATTGGGCTATGCATCGTGATCGCAGCCGAGGCCCTCGCCATTGCACGCCGCACTCACTTTCCCTACGCTAATGCCAGATGGTTATTATGCTGTTCTACTGCCACTCAAAGACAACGTCGGAAACTTCGCCTCCTTGCTCGACCGACCCCCGTTCCCAAGAGTTCGTCGACGCCGCATTTACCGACAACGACGGCGACCCGGTCCTACCCATTTACTCGGACCCCTTCGGCCAGGTGCACCCCTTCACTCCATCGAGGGCGAGCTTCATCGAGCATACTAGCACACTCAGCAAATACGGGGCGCGTACGAATCAGTCAAGCATGTTGGGACATGAGAGGCTTCGGTAGCCATTGGGTTAATTGCAAGCGCATGAGTCCCTCAATGCCTCCCGCTTGCTCTCTTGCAATCGATGTACTCGTATGCTAAACCTCCCAATGTCCGGAAAGGAAGGCTGATCTGGTCAGCTGTCGTCAGTCCCCTCGCCGTCGTTTACAATGGCTGAACCCCTCTGTCTCTCAGAACTACCTATACATCCTTGTCTATCACAACTTGTTACTTCAACCAGTGCTGGCTCATGATCTGCTGCACGGCCATGAGGGCCCAGTACCGCACATCAGGATTGTCGCTCGTCATGAGCTGCATGACGCGCGTCTTGCCATTACCCTCGTTGATGAGCTGCTTGCTCTTCTCCCCGCCGTACTTGACGAACTTGGCGACGTCATTGCACGCCACAGCCAGCACGACGGGGTCGCGCGACGTGTTGAGCAGCTCGATGAGGCGGCGCACGAGCTTGCCATTTGCCTCGGTCTGGATACGGCCGACCTCGAGGCGCCAGAAGTCGTCCGACTCGTGTGCCGGCGACCACACCAGGTGGCCCGACTCGAGCTCGGACACATACTCGTCAAATGTCGTCAGGCCCTCGAGGCGCTCCTTGAGCTCCTCCTTGAGGAACTGAAGATCCTCGACCACGTCCTCGTCGCTCCACTTGCGCTCCGTGAGAGAGTCGACGAAGGGGAGCAGGCGGACGACGAACATCGACGGGAGGTTTTGCGCAGGTGCAAGTGTGAGAAGGTTCTGCGGTTAGCGTGGGGATTACGCGGAGGACCCAGGTGGCTCATGCAATTCATGGCCTCGGAGCAGTCCTCAAGAGTGTGGCAGCGCATGCGCAACAGTTGCAGCCGTCTGTCGGACCCAACCAGCCCTATCAACTCACCCGGAATGTCGCCACAATCACACGGATAACCTTCTCCTTGACGGCCGACTTTGCAATCTCCGTAAAGAGAGCAACGATGTCGTACTTCTTGTCCAACCCTTCCGCGGCATTCTGCTCGAATGAAAGCTGCCAAATACACGAGATTGCGCCGTACTGCTGCTGCGGCGAGATGTTGTCTTTGAGCCACTTAACGAGGCTGCGGTCAGCTATATCCAGATTCAAGCGCACCCCGAGATACAGTCGCCCTGCTTCCACACGGCGGAGCGGAACTGCTTCTTGCCAAGCACAGCATTGAGCACCTGCGTCGCAATGTCGCGGCTCTGCAGGTGCGGGCCGTTGATGAACGACGCAAGCGACGTCAGCAGCGTGGGGAGGAGCTCGCCTGGGAAGTCGTTCGGGTCAGTCCTGCCATCAGCTGATGCCGCTCAACACCTCACGCAATGAGGAGCGCCAGTATCCGCAGACTCTCGAGGTGCACAAACTCCTCGTCCGTGTCCATGGTGAGGCACTTCACGATGGGCTGGTACGGGTCGAGCGGGTTCTCCTTGCGCAGGTCGTGAAAGTAGTGGTACGCGCTCATGTCCGCGAGCATGACGGAGATGGAGACGAGGACGGCCTGAACTGTGTCTACGCGCTGCAGCTTGCGCAGCAGGTCGATGTAGAGCTTGGCATACTGTGCGCCCTCGGTCGCGATCTTGTGGCCGCGTTGTGAGACAGGCTGGGTTCAGTAACCTCCGGAGAACGTAGCGCAGAGACATCGGCGTTCCAGTACGACTTGGAGCTCGCCACACCAACAATCACAAGACTCACGAGCTTGTCAAGCGAGCGGATAAGCGTGCACTCCTCCTGCGAGAGCAGCTTCGCGCGCTGGTAGCCCTTGCGTTAGTCTGACTCCCGGTGCGGACCCACCTCCCATGGGATCTGCCGGGCAGCAAGCTTGGAGAGCTGGTCGTCCAAGTAAGGGCTGAAGAATGGCGGGGGGATTGCTTCGACGGCCGTCATGGTGCCGAGGTGAGAGATGTGCCGTCGGCGAGGACGTCAAGATGGCGAGTGTTGGCTGGACGGGCGGTGACGCACAGGGGTGGGGTTAACGGGGATGCTGTATAAAGAACCTCCACCCGGCGGCATGACTTTGCCACCAACCAACAACTCTGCAACCACCAACAATCAAAACTACGGCGACATGAGCAGGCCCGTGTCTCTCGCCGTCAAGCCGCCTGGCGTGAGGGCGAAGTGGAATGCCCCGAGCCAGCGCATGTTCGCCGACGACTCGGACGAGGAAGGCGACGCCTTCGGTTCCGCCAGCAGCCGCCCCAAGGCCGTCAAGGTCGAGGATGAGCGCATCGAGGGCTTCGGGAACGGGAGAGCGCTCGGCAGCCGCCGCTCCCCCGAGCCGCTGGTGATCGCGCCCCTACCGAACCGCGACTGGCGCACCGTCGCGACACAAAGCCGCCGGCCGGGATACCGCCCCGAGCGGCGGGACGAGGGGCCGGTCGTGACGCACGAACGGACCGGCGAGGAGCCGCAGCGGCGCGGGCTGCGTCGCGCCGGCGACATTGACCCAGACTACGACCGCAAGCCGGACGCTGCGGCGTTGGCGGCTGTGGACGCGAAGCCGCGCGTGCCGAAACAGGAGGTCAAGGAGGAAGAGGAGCGCAAGCCGCTCACGCTGGAGGAAGAAGCGCTCGCCGCCGTGCTGGCGGGCGACGCGGCGCCCGTCTCGGATGCGCAGCGGCGTGCGGAAGAGCTCGTGATTGAAAGCGCCGCCAACCGCAACATCATGAGCGAGGAACAGGCGCTCGAGCGCGACCTCAACATCCTTCCCCCAGAGAGCTCGCTCGACGATTACGACGCCGTACCAGTCGAGGCGTTTGGCGCTGCTATGCTCCGTGGGATGGGGTACAATCCAAAGGATGACACGCCGATGCACGTCCCCAAGCCGCGGCCGGCGCTGCTGGGTATCGGCGCGACCGCTTTGTCGTCCGAGCTCCCACCGAGCCGGAAGGACCCGAAGAAACGGCGCGAGGAGCGCGCGACGCGCGGCGGACGAGGATTCAACGCCGCAGCTCTGCTGGTTCCGTCAAATGGACCTAGTCGGGAGGCGAGTACGGCGAGAGAGCTCTCAGGGGAGGCGACCGCGTCTCGGGGCGCCAGCCCCGGCGAGAAGCGGCGGAGAGACGACGACGACGGGCGCGACAGCAAGCGCCGCTACGACGACCGTGATCGCGAGCGTGAGCGCAGCAGACGATCCGAACGCGACCGCGACGACAGAGACCGCCGGCGCGACCAGCGGTACGAGACAGACGAGGAGCGCGCACGGCGCAAGGCCCGTGAGCGCGAGCGCGACAGGGATAGGGACGATCGCCGAGACCGTGATCGTGACCGCGATCGGGATCGCGAACGGTCACGCCGCGACGACCGCGATCGCTACGACGACAGGGACAGGCGCGATCGCGACCGCGATCGAGACCGCCGGTAGAACACTGTACATTAGACCATTCATAGAACAACAAGCTTGTACCATCCAGCCAGTCATCGATACCGGCGACTTCGCCCCAAGCAGAAGAAACCGTACAGTGTACATTCAGACTCTACACAATTAGTATATGTACAGGGTGGTGCGCTGTATGAGACACAGCGTTGCGGAGCAGCGCCACTGGCGTGTGTAGCGGCGCCGGAGTGAGGCCCGTGTATGATGTGATCATCGTTGTGCCGATCAGTGGCTTACACAGACACGGCAGCTTGGGCTCTAGGTGCTCCTGTAGCTGACGCGACGCCGGCAGCGACAGCCATGGCAGCGCTGAGATCGCTCGTCTCTTCCTGCACGGGTGTGCCCACGGACATGGGCGAGTAAATCTCGCGGGTGGCTGTGACGCACCACTCGACGAGGTGTTCGGGGAGCTTGGAGGGCGTGCGGATGATGATGCACGTGCCGGAGAGCTGGACGGCGCGGTCCCAGCGTGAGATGACTGGCGTTAGCGAGGGCGTTGGGAAGTGGAGCCCAAACGGGCGCAGGGGGTGGATTGGGCCGGGCATCAAACGCAGCTCCTGCCTCGGGCCATCGCCACCACCGTGATACTCACTGCTCTCGGCGATCAGCCGCCGCTGGATGTAGTCTCGGAGATCGCGGAAGGTGGGCGAGGCCGAGTCGCGGAACGCCGGGGACGACGTGAGCGGAAGGCCGGTGTGGGTGTTGACGGGGATGCGGAGGGTGTACATGTTGTTGTGGCGATGGATGTGGGTGATCTGTGCTGGTCGCACGACCCGCTAGATATAGATGTACGCGTAGGCCAGTCTGCAGTCTCGGAGGGCGTCGGCGGCACGTGCAGAAGCCATTGTCCTGTGCTCGCCCCCGCCCTGCCTCGGCGCGCCGTGGCGCAGCGGTTCCGCGGGGGCCCTCTTGTCTGCGCTGGAGCCGCAGGAGGTTCTGGACGCGGGACCCGAAGACCAAAGCGCCGAGCTGAGCGCCACTCCTACTCGGATGTCACCGTTCTCTTTCTTCATCTCCCAAATAACATCCCACGCTCGCCATGGCTGTCTCGCCGCCGCTGTCTTGTTCATGAGACTCGCGCTGCATGCTGCACACGAAACAAGGCACTCGGAAAGCCCGGTCGGCTTCGGCTTCGGAGTTTTGCCGCAGACAATGGGCGCGCCACGCGACGCCTCGCCTGCGCCCATTTGCCAACTCTCCTTGCCGTGGTCAATGCTCATGACTCATAGTCAGATGACGGCAACGAGGGCACACGGCCGGGTGGCGACCGCCGAATTTCCGCTCACTGGTGCATCATTACGTTTGGTAACTGGTCCGTCCTATCCTCCATTAACCCAATAATTCCTGCGCAGCGACATGCGCCCCTCCTACATCACCGTAGGACCCGAAGACGCGGCGGGCGCACCGGTCTGGGGCACGTCCTCGTGGCTGAAGTCGACCTCCTCGCGGCGCGCCGGGCCGACCTTGTGCGGGTCGTACATCTCGCCTGCGCGCTGCAGGGCGTACTTGACGACGTCCTCCGGAATGGGGTGGACGGAGGGGATGACGATCTCGTTGTTGGCGTGCGTCACGAGCACTTCGCCCTTGGGTGCGTCTGCCGTCAGCCATGGCCTGATCACCATCCACAAACTCACAGCCAAGGTGCCAGAGCTGGTTGCTGATGGCGACGGCGAGCGAGTCCCACTGCTTGCCGTCCTGCAGCTTGTGCGTGTTGCAGCCGGAGCTGTCGACGGGGATGATAACCCAGTACAGCTTGTTGTGGAGGTGCTTGCCCTCCGGGACGGCCGTCGAGGGCGCCGGACGCGTGTTGCCGCTCGTGGTGAGGATGGGGACGACGGGGGACGTGGTCTGCTCGAGCGAGAGTTTCTGCGCGCGGGGCGAGGAGAAGTCGCTCTCCTCGCGGCGGGCTGGGCCGACCGTGTACGGGTCGTACACCTCGGACGCGCGCATCACGCAGTACTGGACGACATCGTCGTTCAAGCGGTGGTGCGTGGGGATGACGACCTCGTTGTTCGCGTGCGTGACGGTGATCTCGCCCTTGGGCGCGTCTGAGGTCAGCAATCGGCGTCTCGGAGGCGGCCGGGGTGGGTGAGATAAGACCCAGAAATCAAGACGCACAGCCGAGGTGCCAGAGGCGATTGCAGATGGCGAGGGCGAGCGAGTCCCACCGCTTGCCGTCCTCGACGGTCGTGTTGATGGGGATGATCACCCAGTGGATGCGGTCGTGAACGTGCGGCGCCATAGTGAGTAGGAAGTGAGTGTGAGTGATGCAATGAGATGGGGGATGTCGATCACTATCTCGCAAACAACGCCTTTCATATCGCAAGATCTGAAGCGAGGGCCACAAAGGCCGCATGCTGCCCATTACGTCCCGGATGATGCTTCGGCAGGAGCTTGGCCGGTGGCAACGGGCGTTACCGCTTCTAGAGATTGTGCTGGAATTGTCGTTGCCCAGCTGCCCAGCTGCCCAGCTGCTCAGTAGCCCATGCCCAAATGCCCAACTCTGCTGCCAAGCAGCCCAAATGATCAAATGATGGCATGGGGTGCAGGCGGGGGAGCTGAGGCGATCATCTGACATGCCGTCCACCCTTTGTTCGGGTGCACCAGTGGCGGCGCCAAACTCCAATTTGTCCAGCGCCCAGCGTGCCGTCCTCGTGCTGCACCACATGGGCAGAGGCGGAAGCGGGGAGCCAGCAGCCCACCCAGTTTGCCTCATACGCTCGCCTCAAGCCTCGGCAGGGTTTGACTGAAGGGCCATTCGCGGCCCACGGGGAAGGAGGATGCCAGCATTCACGCAGAGTGCGTTGCTCCGCAGATCTGCAGAACCAACCCGGCTCATGCCTCCCGGCCGACATGCCGTTGTTTGCACTCCGTCGACCCACGGCGTCAAGACATTCGCACAACATGCAGACAATATAGACTCAACAGACCTGACCACGACAAAGAAACATCTCTGCGCCGACATGCTGGCGCTACAGCAAACTCCCATTGCTTGGGTCCCGGGCGATGCCCGTCACCCTCCATCCCTCGCGGTACGTTGCCTCCGTCTCGCCCACCGCCCAGAGCATGAAATCGGCGTCCATGCGCACCGGGGTGGTGATAACAATCTTGTCGTCCCATACCGAGACGGCGTTATCGCCACGGCGGATAGCTAGGGTCAGCAACGGATTGCGGGGGAGATTGCATGCGTAGGTGGCGGGCGAGGGAGGATCTGGGCCCCACGCCACTCTGCCTTCGACTTGCGGATGCTCTCCACGTCGCCGCAGCACTCACCTCGTCGGCGCACCAACTCGCCATTCAGCAGCTGCGAGACCGCCGCGAAAAGGTGGTCGTCGGGTCGCAGGCGGAGCTTATATTGGCTCCGCACCGAGATCAAGATCCGGTTCGTGTTGTCCAGCACCACAGGCTCTGGCGGCGGCGGCGGCGGCCCGGGGTGTGAGAACATCCGCCGGTGCCGGGAAAGCGCGTGCATAGCGTTGGTGTTGAGGGGTTGAGTTTGGAGACGCGCCGTCGCGTCTGGAGAGGAGTGCGCGCGTCGCGGTGAGGGCGTCGTCCTGGGGCGTCGAGCGGGGGGTGGCGCAAGTCGTCAAGCACGATATCGCCCAGTATGAGCAGAGCTGGCGCGCACAGAAGGCCGTGGATGCTGTGGTGATCGCTATATGCTTGCTCGCGTTCGCGGTAGCGCGATCGTCGCTGTCGTTATTTGTCGTTGCTGGGACAATGTAGGATCCTCGGAACCGGACGCATCGCTGACGCTGGGGGGAGCCAAGTTGATCAGTGCGAGTGAGTGCACAGGCGTGTTTGAGAGCGAGGGGAGGATGAAGCAGAGACGAGGAGAAGGGTTCAAGAGGCCCAGAGATCGTGAGAAGCTGGTGGGCAGGGCGTGTGCGCGTACGGGCTTGGATCATGGCCGTCACGAGGCTTCCGCAGCGCGCCACCGGCAAGAGTGCGTATGCGAGGTCACCGGAGAATGCAGAGCGGCGGCGTCGAAACGGGATGGGGGCGAGGAATGCTGGCGTCGAGACTGTCCGGTCCGGCATTCGGCGCCAGTCGCTTGGGCGGCGCGGAAATTCCGCTCACAGTTCGCCAAGACGCCGACTTCAGCCCCTCATGTCAGGTTGTTGCGTCACAGGCGTGATTACGATACAGAAGCCACACGCGAACCGCCTGTCGTCTGCTCCAGACTGCTTACATACTCAAGAACCAAGTTCTTGCCTACTACGGTACGGCAAAGCCGACCTTTTGACGACGGCTCGCCAGTCACCCTCACCCCTCTTACTCGAGGTGCGAGGATGCTTCCTCGAGCTTCGGAAGCGATGCCCGCAGAGCGCGCAGGTCCGGACTGTCGCCATCGACAGGCGTCGAGTGACCACTCCGGCGGCGCTGAAGCCACGCCTTGACGAAACCATTGCGCGCAGCCACACCACCGTCGTCCTCCGGCGCCGCAGGGAGATCGAGACCCTCCTCGCCCATGGCGCGCTTGCTCGCATTGCGGAAGCCATCGAAAGCCGCGCGCGCACCGCCGCTCTCAATGCTTTCGCGTGCGAGAGCAACACCATCGCGCCACGTCTTAGCGCGACCCGAGATGTGCAGAAGTACGGCCGCGTTGATCAGGATGTAGTCCTTGATCGCCTCCATCGAGGGTGCTTCAGGGCCTGCGGGGTTGGCTAGGTGCGGAGGTGGTGCAGTGCCGTCCAGGATGGCGTTGAAGGTGAGCGCGTTGTCCTCCGGCGTGCTGCCCTTGACCGACGAGAGGGGGTGGTACGGGAGACCAAAGTCCTGCACGGGGTCGATCTCGCCGCGGTGAATCTTGCCATTTTCGAGGCGCCAAATCTGATTGTTAGTTTATGCTTCCACAGTTTCCGCCTGCAGTTACTCACCCAGGTTGGCCCGGCAATCGAAACCTCGTCCAGCCCCTCCTTGCCGCAGACTACAAGTGCCCGCTCGACGCCGAGCAGGCGCAGCACCTCAGCGAACGTGTCACCCAGCTCATACTTGGCCACACCGAGAACCATACGCTGCGGGCGCGCGGGGTTGATCAACGGGCCAAGCACATTGAAGACGGTGCGGAAGTTGAGCTGGCGACGGATGGGCGCGATGTGCGCCAGCGAGGGGTGGTAGTGAGGCGCGAAGAGGAAGAGGAAAGGGGAAGCGGGAAGGAAGTCCTTGAGAGCCTCGACGGGGAACGACAGCCTGCAGTCAAGCGCGATGAGGAGGTCAGCCGAACCAGAGGTCGAGGTAGCCGCACGTGAGCCGTGCTGCGATGTCAGCGGAGGAATGGGGCATGCAAGGGGAGGCCGAGTGTGTCCACGGGCGCCACATGATCGAGTAGGATTGTGATGCACAGCGTATGTAGATCTGGGACGACCAGACGTCGACATCCAAATTGCCGTTGCCTCACGTCTGCAGGAGCGGAGGCAGGAATCCGATCGCTCCACTCACCTTGGCTACACGCAGACCTGTGCCTGCCACAACCACAGCAGCAGTAGTCGAGACGTTGTACGTGTCCCAGCCATCGCCACCTGTGCCAACAATGTCGACCAGGCCAGCGTACCCGTCACCTTCGGGGTCCGAGTAGCCGTAGTCCCACATGCCATGTCCGGCCAGGGGCTTCTCGGGCTCCGCCTTGACGTTGTTGACGGGAACGGCGTGACGGCGCATGACGTCGGCGCATGCCGCGACGACGGAGGCGCTGGTGTCAAGGCCGGACAGAGTTAGGGCCGTGAGGAAGGCGCCGGCCTGCGCCGGGGCGGCGCGGTCGCGGGCGAGATGCTCAAAGGCTTCCCCACAGTCTTCGGCTGTGAACTCTGTGGGAGTCTGCACGAGCTTCTTGAGCAGATGCTTGAAGGTCTCCGGAGAGTAGTCCTTGCTGGACCCGTTTGCGATGGTGGACATGATGGTAGATGCGGTGGGAGGGAGAGAGATGAGGGAGCTGCTGCGGTTGTTCTCTTGCCCGCTTGTCCGAGCCGCCTCCACCCGCTCTGCGCGACTCTGACAATGCGCCATTCCCATTTGTATTCGATCAAACCGATAACGCGATAGGTTGGAATTGACACGTGGACTTTGATTCCGCCCTGCCATTGCCGCCTCCACTTTCACTTTGAGATCTGGTGGATATACATGCCGGTATTTCCGGCCTTCCGGCTGACTCACCCTGGCACCCGACGCGTCGGTTCCGCGTCAACATGACTATGGTGATTTGGTCACCATCTCGTCTCTCTCCGCTCCCCACGAGATTTCTCTCTTGCCCCAACATCATCATGAGTAAGCGCAAGTCGAAAGAGTCTGCAACAGAGCCACCAGCGAAGAAGGGTGAGCCTTTCGTCCTCTGATTCTGGCTGATTCAGTCCACTCCTTCTTCACCAACAACCTTACGCCGGGCTCTTTCGACGACTCTATACCTTCCCTCGTTCATTTCTACCATCTTGACCCCCTCAAAGGCAACCCACCATCCACGCCGGTCGAGATTGTTCTGTACGACTTGGACGGAACACTCATCACTACGCGCTCCGGAAATACATTCCCTAAAGGAAGCGATGACTGGAAGTGGTGGGACGATTCTGTGCCCAAGCGCCTGAAGCAGGATCACAAGGACGGGAAGCATGTGGTCATCTTAAGCAACCAGGCATTTAGGGGGCCCAAGGTCCGAAGAGAGTGGCGGGGCAAGCTGCCACAGATCGCGGCGAAAGTGAGTAGCTCAACTCTCGCGGAAGACGGAAATCAAGATGGCTACGACGGTGAGGCTGACTCAGCAGCTATCCAATGTCCCATTACGGGTCCTAGCAGCTTTGGAGAAAGACGTCTACCGCAAGCCCCGGACGGGCATGATCGACTACCTACGACGGTTGTACGAGGACAAGGGGTGGAACGTTGGTGGGTTCTCGGATATTTGCCCTTGGGCACTTTCTAACATCAGACTGGAGTACCGCGGTATATGTGGGGGATGCAGCTGGGAGGAAGGGAGATCACAGCAACACAGACTACACAATGGCGCTGAACGCCGGCATCAAGTTTGTAACTCCTGAGGTAAATGTGCTGGCCAGGGGAGCTGGCTGACGTTCAGGAGCACTTTCTCGGCAGGCCTCCTGCTTACCCAAATCCTCCCATATCGTTTCGACCACGATCTATCGAAGATCTTGACAGACGTAGGAACCGGAGCCTTACTCCCTGCTCACTTAGTGCCTCTGGTCGTGCCGTCAAACACACCCATTACCCGAAGTACGAAGGAGTTGGTCCTCTTCGTCGGACCACCGTAAGTGACCTTGTTGTCCTACTCTGACAGGCAGTGCATCTGGCAAGACCTCGTTTTACCGTCGCTATTTCTCTGGTTACGAGCACGTCAACCAAGACACTCTCAAGTCGAAGGATAAGTGCATCCGTGTCGCCCGCGAGCACCTTCTTGCAAATCGCCCCGTCGTTGTTGACAACACCAACCGTGACGCCGCCACACGGAAGCTCTACATCGACCTCGCTCGAGAGGTCAATGCGCCTATCCGTGTTTTCCACTTCGCCTGTTCCCTCGACTTGGCCCGGCACAACAACCGGTACCGTGCATTCTATGCCCCCCGTAATGAGCCTAAGCGCGAGATTCTGCCCGAGTCCGCTTTCGCCTCGTACAAGAGCGCTTTTGAAATTCCCGCGCCTAAGGAAGGCTTCGACGAAATGCGGACGGTGAACTTCATCTGGGATGGCACCGACAATCAGCGCACTCTCTGGGACCAATACCTCGCATGAGCATGCGCCTGCTCGGCGACTGTTAATATGTAACCTAGTGACCACGGTTCTTTTGGACCGTCATGGATGCGCGGCAGCGACGCCGGAACCGAGGCTGTATGTGCGGGATGGAAGGTCCCGACCGTGGCTGACGTCGTAGTGGTGGCCTGGAATATGGAATGCGGAGTCGGCAATCAAGCAAAGCCCTGGGCGGATGTACAGAATATGGCCCCGGAGCTCTTGAGACTGACCCGTCATCTCAGCCGCATGTCCGCCTGACCTCTCGACCATGCGGCCGTGAGCCAACGAGCACATGCTCTTCACGTCGTCGCGCCTCACCACCTCATTTCTCACCATCGACGTCGACCTTGACACAGATACTACACCTCACACTCTGGCACAATTTCATCAACAGCTTTGCTTGACCTCATTCGCGCATCGCATAAGCAAGCGATCAAGAAATCTAGTTGCCGGACCGCACGGCCCGGCCGGCATGTCGAACCAGCACGAGGCGCATGCGGGCCCATCATCTGAGGCGCATGATGGCGCATCTGCGCAGCGGTGAGTCGACTTAGGGTACTTATGTGCCATCCTAGCTCCAAGCCACCAGAACACGCTGTATCGCCGCACACGGCATGGATGCGGGTTCAACCCACCCGCAACAGTCCGAATTGCGCGCGTCGATCTTGGCTCGACATGTGGCTGACGAGAGACAGGGCGGACGAGAACGCTCCCCGCGTCCAGCTTGCGTGCTTCTACTGCCGCGCGAAACGTATCCGGTGTAGCGGCACCAAGCCGGTGTGTACGGCGTGCGCGAAGGCGAGCGCGACGTGCGAATGGCCAGCAGGGCGACGGCGCAAGCGCACACGGCGTGAGATGGAGGAAGCGCGGCGCGTCGAAGCCGCCGCGGCCGTGCCCGTCCCCGCGGCCCCAGGCATGACGCACTATGGAATCAGCCCTGGCGATGCGAACGGCCGGCAGGCACACCAGCCAACATCCGTGCCCTCCTCTGGTAGCGGGAGTGGGCAACCTCAGATGGAGTATCTCGAGTCCTGGGCGGGCAATAGCAACTTCGTGTGGCCTTCCAACTTCCTTCCAGAGGGTTTCTCGTTTGACACATTCGAGCAGTCGATCCCGGGGTTGCCAGCGGCGCAGATATCTGACCTCTCCTCCCTGGGCCCGCTCGAGGGTTTTCTCAACGACAATAGTCCGGGCACGGACACGCGCTTGTTCCAGGCCCTCGACGGTACAGCCTACATCTCCGGCGACTTGGAGGATGACGAAGTCGAGCTCTTCTACTACCGCTTTAGCGGGACGACGGCGCTCAATCCGGGCATCAACCGCATCAGTCTCAAACTGCACCGGCGCGACGGGGACGCATTGCGCCCGCCCGAGCCCGAAGCGGCCGCCATATCGGCGAAGGGAAGTATGCGTCCCCCGCCGGCGCCGGCAGACCTGTTCGATGCCAGCGGCATGCCGCACAAGCACGTGTGGGATCCGATCTTCGAAAAGTTTCTCAAGCACATGAGCCAGCATTTCCCCTCGCTGTCGCGGCGGCGGATGGAGGAGCGGTATGCGAGCGGGACGATGAGCGCGTTTCTCGCCAACTGTGTGCTGGCGCTCGGCGCCCGCTTCGGCGGCGAGGGAGAAGCCGACGGCGTCGCCGCTTGCGCACCCTTCGTAGCCAAGGCGCAGGAGCTCGTCATTCCCCTCCTTCACCTGCCAGCGTATGACGTCGCGACCGGCCTGCTCATGCTCGCATGGGCGAGCTACGGGCAGAACTCGGACTCGGGGCTGTGGCAGTACTCGGGCATGGCTATACGCATGGCCATTGACTTGGGCGTGCACGAAAACTCGGAGATGTACGAAGACCAGGCGCATCTTGTACGCACACGACTGCTGTTCTGGACGCTGTTTGTCACCGACCGAGTAGTAGCGTTTGCCACTGGCCGGCCCGCCAGCATCCCCGAGGATATCATCGAGATCCCACTGCCCGAAGACGCAGACTTCTTCCCGGATCCAGCGCGGAACACGGCCCGGTTCGCCTCCGAGCCCGTCCAGCCTGTCCCCTTCGTCTACCTCACGCGATTAATGATCATCTGCGGTCGCATCAGCAACGTGCTGAACGGGCGACGAGGGCGTGCGCGCACCCTCGTGGCGACGGACGAGCCGCTAGCCCAGCAGCTCGCGGAACTGCAGGCCCACCTTGTGAAATTCTACGCATCCCTACCGACCCAAATGCGCTGGTCGGCCGAGAACTTCAAGTACCAGCACGCGCGATGCCACGGGGGCACGTTCCTTGCGCTGCACCTGTGGGCCAACGCCGTTCTCGCTCTTGTGTACCACCCCGACCTGCTCAAGTCACCGAGTGGCGAGGAGACGCCGCTGAACCGCAGCATGCCGCGCAACGTCAAGCTCGCTATCGCGAGCTCGCGCCAGATCGGCGAGTGCATGGTCTTCGCCGACCTCGTCAGCCACAGCAGCTATACCGCCACCCCCATCGTCGTGCAGCCAATCTACGTGGCGGCCATGGCGCTTATCCACGAAATGCACGCGGCGCAGGCACAGGCGCGCACGCGCACGCCGACCCCCACGGAGCCTGAGGCGGGCGAGCGCAGCGGAAGCGTCGGCGGCGCGTCGCATGCCAGCGACCTCTTCCTCGTCAGCATGGCCAAGCAGAACTTCATGGCGCTCCTGCGCGCCATCTCTCGCATCGAGAGCTATTGGGCTGGGGCGGGCTACGTTGCTGCCCTCCTTGAGAAACGTGAGTGCAACCTCGACTCTGTTGACCGTAGGTTCGGGAATTGCCGCGCCCGCACGCTCCAAGAAGACATTCATCAGCTTGCCGGACCAAGGGTTGCTGCGGCGCTTTAAGACGGACGTGCGCGGCGACCCGCGCAACGTCGCGCCGGCGACTGAGACGAGTCTGCGCGAGAGCATCGCGCGCTCTCAGAGCGCACAGAGTTCCGGCCCGTCGCCTGTGTGGGTCAGCGACCTGCTCAGTGGATACAGTGTCGAGAACATGAGCTTCGCGCCCGCTGACCAGTTTGACTTTGCCCGCCTGATGGCCGCGGCCGGCGGACAGCAGGAGGAGTTGGGGCGGACTTGACTCTCAAGAGAGGTTTGAGGACTCGAGAGGGATATGGGGACTTGAGTGAGACCGTGAAGTCGCGGGGTTTGGAGGAGTCGAGGGTAATTGGAGGAGCTGAGGCGTAATCGATGATCGACGCACTACTGTTGTGCTGAAGAGTATGTCAATTTTGGACCCAGCAGCACCGCTCTAGAGATGCTTGAACCGTGTCTAGTGATGCTCTCATCTGCTTTTCGTTTCAGCTGAGATCACGCGGAGCGTCATAAGCGCGTCTACCTCGGCGTTGATAAGGCTCCACGCGACCGTGCTTCCTTGGGCAAAGCACGCCTCTATATGGCAGTCCGTCCTGCCAGATTCAAAGTGTGGCCCAATTTGCGAGTGCAATAACGGAGGTGCAGGTTAACAACACCGGAGTGAGAGTATGGTCAGCCAAGGAACACAGCGCGACCTCCAGACGGATAGCCCACCTTTGTGCTAACTCCCCCATCGCGCAGCTTCACACTGCCCTTCCTATCTCGGTGGGAGACCCCAGAGCGCTCCCCAAACCTTTTACAGAAGTCGCAACGAGTCGCGAGCGTGGCTCAGACATCGGCGAACATCCGCAAGCGATAACCGATGGCCGATGGATCAAACTCAAATTAGGCTGATGTAGTTATCGCGTTCGGCAAAGCCAAGTGGCCAATCCCTCGCACTTCGACATGACCTCTATCAGGTCCGTTGGGCCTGAACACGCCTCGTAAGAGGCTGCGCGTTGCACCGTCAGCGCCATCGCACGCGCCAAGGTGGGCAAGCCTGGTCAGTTGATAACCGGCGACCGGCGGCGTGCACCCGCCGTACCGATCCTAATAAGCCGAGGTATCCAGCTTCCGAGCCCCCATCCACCATGCCTGAGACCACATTCACCCTCTTCGACCTGGGCCTGTTCAGCGGCAAGCCGCAGCACGACAACTTCTGCCGGCTGCACGAGCTGGGCTCTGTGTCCAAGCTGGAGCCCAGCGCCAACCCGCACATCTTCCCCAAGGGCGAGGAGCTCGAGCTGCCCGAGAAGTACACAGGCGCGGACGGCCAAGAGCGCTCTACAAGCGAGCTTCTCTCGGAGACGGGGACGGGCGCGCTCTTTGTCCTCCATGACGGCAAGGTCGCGTTCGAGAAGTACTGGCTCACGAGCGGGCCCGGTGTACCCTGGCTCTCGATGTCGGTCGCGAAGAGCTTCACCTCCACGCTCGTGGGCATCGCCCACGCCGAGGGGCACATCAAGTCGCTCGACGAGCCGATCAGCAACTACGTCAAGGTGAAGCCGGGGAGCGCGTACGACGGTGTCCCGATCCGCACTGTGCTTAGGATGTCGTCCGGTGCCCGCTGGAACGAGGACTACAGCGACCCTAACAGCGACATCGCGCTGTTCGGGCACGCCGCCAGCGGCCTCAACGGCGGTTGCCTCGACGACTTCATCGCCAACATGGTCCGTGAGGTCGAGCCCGACACGGTATGCCGGTACAACTCAGCGGAGACGCAGGTCCTCGGCGCCCTTGGTAAGTTGACGAAAAACCGCGGCTGATCCATAGTTAAGGCCGCCACAGGCCAGACCGTCACCCAGTACATGCAGGAGAAGCTGTACGAGCCCCTCGGCATGCGCTACCCCGGATACTGGCTGCTCGACCCCAAGAACGTCGAGCACACGTACGGCGGGTTGAACTTGAGCGCGCAGGACTTTGCCAAGATCGGCGAGCTGTTCCGCCTCGGCGGCGAGTGGAACGGTCGCCAGATTGTGCCCAAGGAGTGGGTGCGCGAGGCGACCACCGTCGACGGCCCGCTGCGCGAGCCCGGGCAGCCCATCGTCGGCGGGCACAAGCTGCCCCTCGGATACGGCTACCAGTGGTGGATCCCGCCTGGAGATGAGGGCGAGTTCTCGGGTATCGGTGTCTACAACCAGTTCGTGTACGTCAACCCGGCGCGCGGCGTCACCATCGTCAAGAGCTCGGCCAACCCCCGCTACGGCCTCAGCGAGCAGGAGGAGGACAACAAGGACATTGAGAACCTTGCCTTCATCCAGTCGATCGCGCGCCAGTTCCCCAAGAAGGCCTAGGCGGGTGTGAGTGTGCATCAGGAGGTAGATGTAGTTCTTGGTTGTACAGCGCGTATCCTTATATGACAAACAAATTGAGACATGCTTGCCGCCCTTGAGCTTGTCAGACACATTCTTCGTGCAGCGGATTGGCTAAGCATCGCCCATCTCCAGTGCGAACCGCCGAGCGCCAACCAAGTGCGCGTATTCTTCGAACGAGTAGAATCGCCATTGCTCCTGAAACACCTCACGCTCGTGCCCGCGCTCCACCACCGCCTGCGCCCACTCGCGGAACGTACCGCACCGCACCGCAAGCTCCTGGCTAGACACAGCGCCGGGATAGGCAGCCATAGGCTGGGCCGGTGGATTGACGACCGTGACGCGGAGGTGGGGCTGGTCGCGCTGGAGGTGCGTGATCTCCCACAGCAGGAAGCCGCCGCGGCGGTTGAGGCCTGAGACAATGACGACGATCTCGAAGTCATGCAGGACGGCGGCACGCGGCTCGATCTGTCGAAACAAAGCCGCGTTGGCCGCGTACTTGTCCGAGAGGTGGTATACGACGCGACGGACGCGCGTTGTGAGCGCCATGCGCGGCTCTTCGTGCACCGCCAACGGCCCGGCGGAGCCGTGCGGGCGCCCCATTACGATGATCGCATCCGCGTCCAGCGCCACCGGGACGTCAACGTCCGTGGGCGTTCCGCAGACCCAAAGACGAACCGTCCACGGCTTCAGGCGTTGCGTGAGGAGAAGAATGGGGTAGATGCTCTGTGGGCCGACGATATCCAAGGCGTCGATGCTGGGCGGGATCCCATTTCCAAGGAGCGATGCGTCTCCGAGCGCCTCTGGAAGCGTGTAGTGTCCCCCGGGCCGCGGGATTTGGGGTTGAGTGCACAGCGCCCAGAATGCCGGGTGACGCCCACCGTTGACACACCGCACCTCGTACCAATCACACAGGAGGTGCTGGGCTAGGTTGGCATCGACGCGCGCGCGGAAGTCCCGAGATGCGGTGCGCAATAGTAAGAGTGTATCGAAGGGCGCGACGCGAAAGATCGCATCAATAACGCCTGGGTAGGCGGTGCGATCGAGCATGGAGCGATAACAAACTCGCAGGTGGGCTGACTGTTCCCTCATATCGGGCTGAGATACTAAACGAACTAGCATCATCGTATCAGGCGCGTTTCCACTCTACAACGAATGACCTGGCGAGCTCTCGCTGCCAGACACTTATCCTTCCTTCAAGAGCAGCTCGCTGCTGAGAATGGACCAGGAGGAAACGCTTCAGCATTCCTGTGGATCACCCGTTCTCAAAAAACGGACAGCAGCTCTGCAGCTGCCTAGCCTCGTGTGGGGCTCGAACCCACGACCGAATGATCAACCGGAATCCAAAGATCCGCATTAAGAGTCATTTAATCTACCGACTGATATAACGAGGCATTACCGTGCTATCGGGCATCGCCGACCTAAGTTAATTACGTGAGCAACAAGCGGGTACAAGGCAGCAATGCAGCTAAAGACTACTTGAGATCAGCCACGAGCGATGTCAGAAATCGTCGGGACAGCACAGTAAACGTGTGGAGACGGAGCGTTACCATGGAAGTCCACAAGCACACAGCCCATTTCGAACTCACAATTCCGGCCCTCTCCCAGTTCATGGGTCGACGTGATATATGTGGGATATCATTATCTTAATTTTCGCTCAGGAGGGAAAACAGCCATACCACTTGATACGTCCACAAACCTCAATGACTAATCACTTGCTACAGAATCAGGGAGACTGATCTGGGACGCCCAGGATCAGCAGAGGTGACATCTTCATTGAGATTGGACTCTGGCGCGCCATTTGCCCCTGTCGTGCTTTTGCGGGGGCACAGCCCCGGTCCGGTCTACTGTGTTTTCAGTAGTTCTGGGACATTGACTTGCGAGACCTGTCAGGACTAGCCGGCAACCATCTTCAGGGACATGGGCAACACGCCTGGCCGGACGGCTAGTCAGAGGGCGAGACTGCCCCAGGGATTGTAATGGCGGCGATACGCGCTACACTTGGCCTGGACATAATAACTGAACAATCGATACGCGAAGCACCTGCAATAATGTTGCGAAGAATGCTCGGCTCCTTCAGTCGTCTTACAGCTGCACGTGCTACTTCATATTAGATATCGCTCGGACCGCCTCGCTCGCTTCATCGCTTCCGGATATTCCGGTGAGATTGCCACGCAGCTCAGTTAGCAAGCTTATTACCGGCCTGATACACGACGTGCTTGCCAAGAGATTAGTTTAAGACACTTAGCGCGAGCCAAGACTTTGACACAGCCGGGCCCGTTTCGTGATCGGCATCCTCGTCCGTCTGGCAGACGTCCGAGCCGCACATCAGTGGCCGTTCTCGCCGCACTCTCGTGCGACACCCCTTCTCTGCAGCTGAGCACAGCCGATGTCCCTAGACCCCAGAGCTGAGCGCATCGTCCTTGATTCCATCGGAACACGATCAGATCATCAGTTGGGTAGATAGAAGGGGAGGTCGCGATCAGAACGCGTTGCTCATCGGACGGAATATATACAAGGGAATAAGGCACACCCGCATACATCAGGGCTCATCAAGCCTATCCCTGTTAGCCTCGTAAGGTGTGGCGCAGGATTGATCACGATACGCTTCGCACAAGTCCCTCCAACTAGATTAGACCTGCTGAATTATTGGAGACTGGACAGCCACAGAGGCGGTTTGTTGGCTCGATCTGCGCCTCTCAGCTGATCTGATTAAGCATTTCGGCTGTCGACCGCAGTTGCATAAATAGGTCAGCTGGTAAACTAATTGCTGGGAACCGAACGCTGGCTATCGCGACCCTGAAGCTCCTGCTCCCTCAGACAATCCCTCTGCTCGGGAACAGTCCTGTGCGAGGCGGTGTGCTGGGGACAGATGCATGAAAACCTCAACAATAGGAGCTCATTCGGGTGCTGTAGCGTGTAGAAGAGGAGGGGCTGTGCCCTGGGATGAACACTGACTCCTAAGCTCAGTCTGGCCCTGCTAGGTACCCGTCCACTAACCATTCTCTTGTTTCAAGCTTGTTCATTCCCTCTCTTCGGCCCCACCTCGCCTCCTCTCACGAACTGTGGCATGTCTGGGTTGGCCCGGCATGACCGGGTAGTCCGATCAGGGCAGCACCGGCTTACCCCGCCTCATGCTGCACTGGTCACGGCTGTATGAGTTGCAGTGCCTCCTTCTCCTCTCCAGATGCATGGGAACGGCGAGCCGGACGCGTCTCGGCTGCCGCTGCCAGCCTGAGCGCGTCTTTACTGAGTCGCATCGACATGAAGCCATATAAATAATACCCCGTGGCGTCTACTCCCACAGAATTCTTCTAGTCCTCAGCTCTCAACATGCTCGCCCAGTCGCTCCTGCTCACCATCTTCGCCGCGTCCGCCGTGGCCTCGCCCACCCCCGAACTCCACGACCTTCTCCCGACCCGGTTCACCCCTGTCGAGCGCGCTGTTAACGCCCTCGGAAACGCGCTCCAGGGCCGCCAGGCCGGAGGGTGCCCGTCGGGCTACCGCGAGTGTGGGGTTGACGGATGCTACCCTCTCGACGGCTCGACCTGCTGCGGAAGTGGTGAGTCGTCCTCTACAATCCCGGGATGAGCCGCAGGTCATACTGACGCGTAGAGGGCACCTACTGCGAGCCCGGCTACCGCTGCACCAGTGGCGGTTGCTGCCCTGTTGGTGAGATCTGCACTGGCCAGGCCGGCACCCGCACCATCTCTGCCACCGGCGCAGTCACCAGCACCCGCACCTCGTTCGGGAGCGGCACCACTGCCTCTGCTGGCACAGGCTCGTCTGGCACTGGCTCGTCTGGCACTGGTTCGTCTGGCACTGGCTCGTCTGGCACTGGTTCGTCTGGCACTGGCTCGTCTGGCACTGGCTCGTCTGGCACAGGCTCGTCTGGCACTGGCTCGTCTGGCACTGGCTCGTCGGGCACTGGCTCGTCGGGCACTGGATCATCTGGCACCGGATCATCTGGCACCGGATCATCTGGCACCGGATCTGGCTCGTCTGGCACTGGCTCGTCTGGCACTGGCTCGTCTGGCACTGGCTCGTCTGGCACTGGCTCGTCTGGCACTGGCTCGTCCGGCACGGGAACAGGCGCCGCTGGTCCTGGAGGTGCCAGCGCTGCCCTCCCCGCAACGGCTGTCAATGCCTTCGGAGTTGTCCTCGCCGTGGTTCTCGCTGTTTCGGCGTAACGCAGCGGCGGATTCCAAACTTATGGGACATCAGTATCGGCACCCTGGTCCTGTTGCAAGCGCTGCAGGTCGAATATGTAACGGCGTCTTAGCGTATCATTAACTTTCAATGAACATTCAAAATGTGTTGTGCATTTCCAGTGGTGCAATGCCGCGACCAGTCCGTCTGATCAAAGGCAGCAGCATTCATCACCACCAGTCGTACGGCCGTCGTGCACTTGCAGATTCGCCGGAGTACAGGCATGGTGCGCGTGGACATGACGTCCCAAACGCCGTCCATCTTGTTGGGCTTGGTCCATCACTATTAAGCACATGGTCAGTAAGGTTGAATGGCGCACCGACTCCTGAGTGGAGCGAAGCGGAGCGAGCACTGCCCGCCCACAGTGTCACACGTGCCCAAGCCTAAACTCCGGTCACTTGGTATGTGACCAGCTTGGCACGTTGCACCGCCGCGAACTTGGCGGTTTGTACGTGAGTGGGGGCGATGCGCTCCGTACCCTTCAACACAGTGTTCAACACGAGTCCGTGAAGGCATGCCGAGATTGTGGTTAGCCACAGACTCCACCAGCCTCAGTGCACATATTCAGAATACACTATCATGAGCAGAGGCAAGCACTACCTCTGAACCCGTGCCCCCATTCCGGCGACTGCCCGACGACCACCAACGCCTTCAGGCGCCTCGGAAGATAAAAGCGAGTTGACGGACTTGTGGCGGTGGGGAATTTCATTCCATTCTGCATTCGGTACAGCAGCAGCGCCCGGTGGCTTCGGCATTATTATTTTAGCTGACACAGGGAGGTTCTGGGCCATGGGCGGAGCAAAGAGCTACTCTCAGAGTCCGTGAGAAGAAGCGTAACAATTCACAGCCTATCGTAGTGTCTCCATGCATTGGATGCGGAAGGGCAGAGACTGCATTACCCTCGATAGCCGCCCGATGAAACATTACGTGACCGAGAGTGGGCAGCACAGCCAATCCAAAGAAGCATGGTGTATGCATCGTCACGCTATCCATTTAACTTCATACACCGCCACTCACCCTGCAGGAGCAACGTGTAGGAGTAAAGGTGCATCCGCGGGACCTCGGGGGGTGCAGACAAGCATGCAGCACGACCATCGACTTGTGCCTCTCGCCTCGTGCCGAGTTGTCTGTGAGCTCAGGCTGCCCGTGGCATTAGCCATATTCTCGCGAGGCACGGACATGACCACCTGACCAGCTCGTCCAGAATTCAGTTTGCAATTGGGGCACTGCAGCATTCCAACGTGAGACACGGTCTGTCGCTGTTCCGGCGTTCAGCCTTCCGCTCGAGAGGACAACCGGCTTGGCCCCTCAATCCGAACGCAAGGGGCGGGAGGACAGGCAAAGGGATGGAAACTCATCACAAGTTACCAGCTATAAAGGACGAGGCCATCGTCCTGTGTCCTCAACGGTTGCCACTTCAAATTCATCGTCATGATCACGCACATCCTTTGGGCTGCTGCCGTCGCCCTGGCTGCTCCGCAAAACGGTGAAATCCTCCCTTACGGATCTCTGGAAAACGGAGGTCGAACCCCCCAGGACAATGCGCCCTTCGGTCTCCGCTCCGTCTTCGAGGCCGGTGCCGTCAATCTTGAGGCCCGCCAGGGGTGCCAGGCTGGATACACGCCATGTGGCAGCGACGGCTGCATGCCTGCCACCAGCACCTGCTGCAGCAACGGCCGCTCGTGCCGTGCCGGCACCGACTGCGTCGAGGGCGGCTGCTGCCTGTCTGGCAACGTCCCCTGTGACGCGACGGATGGAAGCGGGTATGAAGGCTGCTACCCCGCTAGCGAAGGAGCCAGCTGTTGCTCCAATGGTCGTTTTTGCCGCGCCGGCACGTACTGTGCCACAGGCGGCTGCTGCCGCGATGGTCAGACTTGCAATGGAGGCGGCACCGGAGGTACTGGTGGTACCGGGGGTGGTGGCTCACCCGACGGTGTGACCCCCCCTACGCCTTTCACGCCGAACCCGAATCCTCGCAAGGCTGGTCTGGGCGGCCAGGCCTCCAAGCCTGTCGACCTGTACTGGGAGGCGGCGTACATGGGTTTGTGGTACGAGTACCAGGCCGGTCAGTGCGACAAGACGCAGAAAGCCAAGCTCGCCCGTGGTCCCGGTAACACCATTACCGTCGACTTCGAGGACGATGTCCGTGGCTTCGCCGTATCTGTAACACTCGGCGACGTCGGCAATGTTCGCGTCGCGTCTGGTGGCATATCGCAGAACATCACCATCCTCAGCACCGGGAATGCCGCTGAGGTGGCCGCAATGGACACTTGCCCCGTCAGCTACCAGTACATCTTCCCACAGGGGACCGCGGGTTACTCCTTATCCATCGACTACCTGAGCTCTGACACGGGCCTCGCCGACCGCAACAGCGGCGAGTTCTTGGTGCACCAGATTACGTAAGTTGAGGAAGAAGACCTCTGCGAGACCAAGCTGACCTCAGCATCTTTAACTCAGATGAGGACATCAGGCGTCTTACTACCACATCGCTCCGCCACCCTCCGCAGACCCTGGGTGCGAACGCTGGCGGAGGCGGCGGTGCTGGCGGCGCCACGGGCGGCGCGGGTGTCCCCGTCGCTGCCGGTACGGGCGGAAACACCGTAGTGCGGTCCACCACAGCGCGGACCTCGTCCTCCGGTCCAGCATCAACTGTCGGGACCGCGGCTGGTGCCGCCGGGGGCCTCACCGGTGGCGCCGTCATGGTCGGCGCCTCGGTTTCGCTTCTTACTGCGGCAGCGGCCGTCGGCTTCGCCACTCGCTTCTTCGGCATTGCGTGGCTGTAACCGTCGGCTGGCTGTAACCGTCGGCCTAGTTCATGACCGGAACATAACCAGTAGCCCCGTAAATTACCTATCAATGTCATAATGGTTCAAGATTGGCGGTGTCAACCGTTAGGTGGATGGATGGCTGGGTCCGCGTTCAGCTGCAAGTATCTCATACGTTATTAGGCCCTTGGTGCCCCTCCCACTTGCTTGACGACCGAAGGCGGCTGTCTCTGGCAACAGGCACTCCCGCACAGTAATTAGCCAGCTTTCTAAGCATACCGAGTCGCTACCCCTTTGCCCTGCAAGCTTGGCATTGACTGCTCATGACCAAGGACCTGGAGAACAAATCGCCCTCGTCCACCAACTCAGCCGTCCTAGTACATGCATTCGCCACGGCATAGCACAGCCGCCACGGTGCATACCCCACCTCCTTCTACAGTATCTGCCTCATTAGACCAATCAGACCCAGGCCAACTCCACACAGTACAGTGAGGGATCCCGGTACAGCCGCGGGGATGGCGTTGTTGGCGGAAGCGGGGCTCGCCGGCAAAGAGACAGCAGCGGGGGCGCTTGAGGTGGGGGCATCGGCGGCGGTAGTGAAGGGCGGAGGAGCGGAACTGAGGGCGGTAGCAACGGAGCTGACGGCGGCAGCAGCAGATGTGCGGGCACTGCTCCGCGTTGATGCTGAGGGAACGGCTGTGCCGTCGGTTCCCATGGATGAAGTGATCTCAGAGGAGGCTTCCCACTGGGTGCTGGTTGTTTCGGACCACTGTGTGCTGGTTGTTTCGGACCACTGTGTGCTAGTTGTCGCAGCCCACTCGGTAGTCTCGCGCCACTGCGTAGTAGCCGTCGTACGGGTTGTCTCCGGCCTGTTCTCATTGGCTCCAGCGTTGTCCGGGAACCAGTCTCCGCTGTCGCCTCCACCAGAGCCGCTGGAGTCTCGACACGTCCTGCCATTGGGGCAGCACCGTCCGTTGGCGAGGCAGTAGTACCCACTCTCACAGTATCCGCTGTTGCGGCAGCACGAGGCTCCGGCGCTGAAGGGGTAGCACGAGATGCGGTTGCTGCCGTCCAAGGCCTGGCATGGTGCCCAGCCGCGCTTGCAGCACCCGGCCTCAAAGCACGACTCGTCGCCGTCGCAGTACCGTCCGCCACGACAGCAGGTCGCGCCGTAAGGCATGCATGATCGTCCGTCGCAGATCAGCATACCGGCGCACTGGCGCCGCTCGAGGTCGCGCCCGACATGCACGTCGAACAAGTTTGCGGGCTGCTGGGCCGTGCTGTTGGCCCATGACACTGGGATGGCTTCAGCATAGTCGAGCGTCGCCGCCGCTGCTGTGGCTGCTGTCCAGAGGAGGACGAGGGGGGTGAACATGCTGAGAATATTCACTGGTGGGCATTAACAGCTCCATGCATTGCCTTTTGTACCCCCTCAATGTCCAGGTCTAGCCTCCCGAGCTGATCAGGGCTTCTAGCCCGGCCTTCGGCACAAGCATTAGTCAAGTTCTTGTCACTTGATACCCGACTTCGTGGGATGAAAGGAAGGGGTGCTCGTGACCTCAACAACCATCCCTGGGCGGTAAAGGTGAACACGAGTCATTATTGCTGCCACTCCAGCCCGGTTTGTGTAGCGAGCGGTGCTCCTGTCCTCGGAAGCTGACCCATGAGTTTGGGGAGCTTAGATAGGGAGGTCCCGGCCTTTGATCATTTCCGCGACTGGCTTTGGAAGAGACGTCGTAAGCTCAAACTATGGGATCGTCGTGTCAGCCACACTTTATGACTCAGGAACGAAGGCTGTGTTGGAAACGTTAGCTAAGCTTACCACCGTTAGGAGAGTTACCCTTGGCAGGCACTCAGGGACTTCCGGACAAGGCACTGCATCGCCGGGTGGAGCAGGTACACGCACCGGATGGAGGCACTTGCATCCGGATGCTGGGTGGACTTCGAAACGACTGCCCCCGAGTCACCGGAGACGGATATGGATGTGTTGCCGCTCGGCTTGGGAGCCAGCTTGGCCGGCCGCGGAATGTGGGGGTTGTCGGAGCTTTGTAGGATGACAGCTGATGATGTCCCCCGTTGACATACCTGGCTGGATCTCCAATCTTGTGATGCCCTCGCCACTCTCATTACGGCGGTGAGATGCTCATGTGGCTGAGCGCTCGCGTCCAGCATTTTCCATCTGCCTGTGCTACATCTTGTCTTTCCCGTAATAGACGCAGAAGCGCTCGGACGACCGGGATCCGAAACATGCGATCTGTTTTTGGACAGAGGGCGGCCAGGCGCGAAAGCTAGCTCGCTAGCTTGAGCTGCCGTGCCGAGTGCGGCACAAGTCACGTGTGATACCGACCGACACTCGCCTTTGCGTCGCTCGAACGACATCGACGTCGTCACTTGAGACTGGTGTCACACCTTGGAGTGTTAGAAACTACCGTGCCAGCTGTCGCCGGCAGTTTTAGAAGATCCAACGACCTGTGGTTCTTCGGCTTCCGCCGCTGTGGGAAAGAAAGTGAAGGATCCACGCCGTCCACGCTGCCAACTGCGGTGCGGGGCGTCGAAGGGATGGACGACCACATTGCCGTTTCGTGACACACACATCAGCTCGCATGTTAGCCCTGTTTCTGTCGCACCACTCTGTGACGCTGATCTGCCCTCCAGCCTAGAAATGATTCCCCAGACTCTCCGAGATACTCATCTCTTCTCCATCTTCCCTCCGCTTCCAGCGCAATGCTCCCCGCCTTTCTCCTCCTCTTCGGCGCTGCCGCCATCGCCATAGCCCCCCATCCCTTCTTCAAAATACATGAAGCCCATCATCTAGGCGTCGGCATCATCTCGCGCCAAGTCCAAGAGATGTGTCCGACCGGATACGCCGAGTGCGGCACGAGCGGCTGCTTCCCCATGGATGGTTCCGCAATCTGCTGCGATACCGAGGGCCACGTATGTCCCTCTCGACTCCGCTGATACAGTACTGCCTTCTGGGAAATGAGTGCACGCTGCAAGGCTGCTGCCCCGCCGGACGGGTATGCGAGGGTACGGTACGCACTGCACAGGCGCTGACCCAGACGACGTTCCTGGTACAATCACGCTCGACCCGAACAACAGCACGGTCCCGACGCCGACGCGTACCTCAACTGCACCCACGGGCCGGCCGCCCCCGCCGTCGTACGTGCCGCTCTCAGCGAGCAGCTCTGCCCTATCCCAGCTGTCGGTGGACGGCGCCAATCGCGACATTACTACGCATGTATCTGCAACGGGCATGGCGACGGGTACCGGGGCTCTCGCACCCACTGGTGGCGCTTCTGCCGCCATGCGCATCGAGGCCGTCTGGACACTCTGGGCGTTGGCTGCTGGCGTCACAGTCCTCTTTTAGAGTGCTTCTCGCCTTGGTTCAATGGTCTTCAACGGTGCCTGACTGAGTTCCAAGTCCGTGTTCGACTCCGTATCACATATGAAACATCGTATGCTTCGTGGTCGCCAAGCTGGCTGCCTAGGCAGTCTTAAAAGTTTCCACAATGCGACGCTGTTCCGGTATACTCGTCGCTTTTTCCCACTCATCATGTAGACCCTGCCTTGGGCGGCTGCATACGCGGCCCGCCGCGACAGATGCTCCTCGCAATGCCACTGACGGCACGCTGGGCCAACTGTCCAGTTTTCTGCGTCCCATTTCGTCGACTCAGCGTGATCCAAAGCGGAAAGATTCACACAGGCGCAAGTGGAGGAGAGGTGGAAGAGGGCGCACTTCGAGTGCGGTGAATTTAAGGGTTTGCTGGAGAATCTGCTCACGAAGGTCTTTGCGATGCATACTGCTGTGACTGATGCCCTGGCATCCCGGACTTCTGAGCGATCAGAGCGTGAAGAAGTGTTGAGATGAAGAGAAGAGCGAGGAGAGGGACGGTGCGGCGGGGCGGATGGCCACTGACCTTTTGGGCCATCTAGGGCGAGGCGGCGCCACATGCCACACACAACGGCGCTGCTTCTCAGATCTCCCTCCACTCGGCTCAACGCGAGCGCCCAAGTCACTGCCATAATGTTGCTGCTCGCTGCTCAATGCCGACAGCCTATGTGCAGTACACCGCCGCCATCGCAACGGCCCGATAACCCTCCTTCCCCTCTGCTATGACCATTCAGGCGCGCTGCAGCCAGCAGCCAGCGGAGAGCGGACCAGCGGGAGTCAGTCACCAGCCTTGCAAACGCCAGTGTGTCTTCAGCGCTGTTCGGTTCCGCTGTGACACGCCCCGAGCCGGAGTTCAGCACAGCACCCACTGGACGAGGTGATCCGTGCGGCCGTGCATCCGCGCCTCGCTCCTCGCGGCTGTCCAGACCTCCTTGTCACAACAATATAACGCACCCTTCCCCCCTCTCCTCTTCTCCATTTTCACACACCCTCTCGCAATGCTCGCCGCCGCCGTCCTTCTCCTCGCCGCCACCGCCCTCGCCTCCCCGCGCCCCGGAGCCTTCGTCGCCAAGGGCTTCACCCCGGCCGAGCGCGCGTGGAACGACCTCGGCCTCGTCATCCGCCAGTCTACCTGCCCCACGGGCTACGGCGTCTGCGTCGACAACTGCTACCCCCTCGACGGCAGTGTGTGCTGCGACGACAGCACTGTACGTGGTCCGCTGTTCCCGCTCACCCCAGTACTGCCCGCAGGGCCACCGCTGTCTCACGGACGGCTGCTGCCCCATCGGCGAGATCTGCGGTGAGTAGAGACAAGGAGGTGGACGCCGGAGCACAAGTACAAGAGGAGAGAAAAGGGGGGGCAAGGCTAACTCCAGTGGGCGTGGGCGGCACCCGCACCGTCGACTTCACTTCCGTCATTTCGGACCCCTCGTCCATTTCTTCCGTGGTCTCTTCGCCCGCGATCTCGACGCCCACGATCGAGCCCGTCTCGTCCGCGCCGGTCAGCTCGCCCCGCCCAGCCCCTCCGCCCAGCAGCAATGGCCCTCCCCTCAGCGCGGGGCCTAGCGCGCAGACCCCAAGCAACGCCGGCAACGGCATCGGTGTCGGCGCGTCCCGCAGCACCGCGCCCACCGTCACGCAGACCGTCAGAGTGATCGGCGGTGCTGGCGCAGTCGCCCCAGCCTTTGCTGGCATCCTCGGCGCTGCCGCCGCCGCCGTTGCGCTCGCCTAGTGGCAGGGCACGCATCTCGAAGCAAGATCAGAGGTTCAGCAAGGCCTATAATCGCTGTTCGTAGACTGCAGCTGCAGCTTGCCATGGACGTTGATGACCGATGCTGGGAGGAGGTTGTCGAGGTATGTGCGCGACGACCACACGCGCCCGAGCAGGGGCCGAGACGCGTCACGCGGAATGCTTCGTTCCTCGCCTCGCAGCCACTCGGCCCGCCCAGTGGTGTAAGGAGTGGATCCAGATCTGGATACCATGCGGCTTGGCAGCTTGTCAGCGGCAGAAGTGGCGGTGGCGCGGTGAAAGCCTTGGCGCGAATTGGCGCTAATTATTCCGAGACCCATGACAGATCCGACGCGACTCACAGTCCATGCTCTGCCGTCGTGGTCGTTCACGAGCGGCGTGTGCGGCGCAAGTTGGGAGATGAAGCTGAGCGTACCGGATCCGTCTAGGAATGAGCCTGGAGAGGCGGGATGTCGCCGAAACTTTCCTGCCCCACGTCCTATCACTCCGCAATCTAAGCTCAGATCCTGATCACATGGCACTAACCACGCGTACAACTCTATTTCTACAGATCACTTATCATCTGGCGCAGGTCCGACAACCAGCACGCGGTTCTCGGCGTCGAACACCGCATTCCGCGTAGTGCTCTTGACGTCCTCGCGCCGGTTCTGGCGCACCTGCTCGTCGGCGATACCCAGTCCGTCGCGGGGCAGCCACACGATCGGCTGCGGCTGGTGCGTGGCCGGGTGAAAGAACGCCGCGGGCGCGGCGCTGTCGTCCGGTGGGCGGATGACGCCCGGGCCGCCCGGGCGCGCAAAGTACTGCGCCGCATCTTGCGCCTCCACCGACTGCGCGGTCGATGTGCGCCGCAGCTCCCAGTGTGCGCGTGAGTCGTGTGCGTCGCGCGCGTGCCGCTGGTCCTCCCATAGCCCAGCCATGGAGCGGCGGCCGCTCGAGCTCCGCCGGCGTGTGCGGAGCACGGGCGCCCGCGACGCTTCCGTGCAGTCCGTCGCGTCCGAGGGGGAGGATGTGTTTTGTAGCCCCAAGTCGCACATTTCTACGTCGTCGGTGGGCGCTGACACGGGTGGCGGGAGCGCGAGCGAAGGCAGCGCGAGGGTGGGCGGGGCAGGGTTCGCGTTGGGCGGCTTCTCGGTGCTAGGCGAGGTCGCACCGATCCGCGGAGAATTCGCGGCGGCAACACGTGGGGAGTTCACAGCGCCGAGGCGCGGTGTGTTCGTGTTGCTCATCCGCCAGCTTCTCATGCTCGCGGCGCTCTTGCGGTGCGTGAGCCCCGGGCGTTCCTTGCTGATAGTGTTCGCCCACATGGCGTCTTCGTCGCCGAAGGGCGGCGTCATTTCCGCTCCCTCGAAGCCCCCGTCGCCGACATCCTTGCCCGCCTTGGCATCGGCCGACGGCTGGCCGTGCGTGAGGTGCGCAAGCGAGAGCGGCAGTGGGTGCAGCAGCGGTCGGTAGCTCGTCACAAGCATATATTGTACAGCGACCTGTGGTCAGCGCGCCCGCGGCATACAGAATCACTTACGCTTGCAACAATCAGAATGACCATGAGAATGGCGAGGGGCAGCGTGTCTCGCCCCTTGCCGAAGAAAATGATAGTGAGCGCGACCTCGCCGATGTAGATGCCGACGAAAACGTGCGTCACAGCACGCGGGAAGAACTCGCCGCCCGTGTCCAGCGTGGACTTCTGGTCCAACACCCACAAATACAGATACTTGTAGACGTGGTAGGCGACGACGGCGAGGATGGCGCCGAAGCCGTTGATCACGGGCGCGATGACCATGTACACGATGACTGCGGTCAGGTATTGAACGGGTTGGGAGCGACCGAAAACTTACGGATGACGAAATACACTGTCATGTTGGGCCAGTCCGAGCCCCATTCGGGACTGTTCATTTTGTAGCGCGCGTTGTAGAAGGACCGTGGGGTGCCACTTCCGAGGATGACCTTGGAATAGTAGATGATGAGGGTGATGGGGGAGAAGAGCTGGACGAATTGACCGGTCACCTGCAGCAACAGCAGGGTGATGTAGAACGTCGATGCCTGGGGCAGCTGGATCTCGAAGGCCTTCTGCAGAGCCTTGGAGGCGCCCTGGCTAAAGTCAGGCCACCACTGCACCTGGGTCTTGTCACCTTCAGGGAGGAGCGTCGCGATGGTGGGGATGAGGAATCGCTCAATGAGCAGGAACGCGAAGTAGCGGTCCATGACGTCGAGTTCGACTTCGGTCTTCGTGAAGTTGTGCAGCTTCGCCAGCTGCCGCAGCAGCGTGGGCGCGATCATGAGGATGAGCATGAGGAGGATGGGGGGGACAAGACCGGTGAGGAGGCCGAGGAGGAGCTTGGGCCCAAACCCGTCACCCTTGACAGTGATGCTGCCGACACCCCAGACGTTGCCGATGATGGACGAGTTAGCAGCTCGCGGGAGCACGAAGGTCGAAAGGACTACGGGGAAGATGAAGGCGACAACGAGCCCGGCAGTAACGAGGAACGATAGAGTGGTGCGCAGATTCAGCTCGTAGTCCGACTTGATGCCCATGTTGCCCCACAGGACGTTGTCAGGCGACAGCTCGATGTAGCGGTGTGCCATGCGATACGGCTCGCCGAAGGGGAGGAATACCTTGGCCATGTGCGCGGCGCTGGGGTCAGCTGCATGGACGGCGTGCGCTCACATTTGCTGGTTGAAGCAGATGAACGCCGACGACAGGGGCTTGAAGTGGTCGTCGGCGATGCCAGGGCTCAGAACGTCACGCTCCAGCTGCCGCCGGCTGACGGTGAGCTGCTCAGTGCACTCCTTGATCTCGTTGCGGTAGTACTTGACAGCGTCGACCTTCTCGCCTATGCCGAGCCAGCCGAGGGAAAATGGCGCCCATGACGGCTTGAGTCTGATCTTGGGCCGCTGGGCGTCGGGGACGATTTGGCTCGTCCTCGACTTGCCCGGATCCCCGTTTGCTGTTGCGCGCAGTGACTCAGGGACGGGCTTGTTCTGCGCCTCGAGTTTCTGGACTTTGTCCTCGATCTTATGGGCGGTGCGGATGAGAGCGACTTGGGCCTTCTCCAGGCCCTGGCACGCCTTGATTCGTCGCTGCCAAAGTTTCGGCATGTCCTTGAGGTCGCTATGGTCAGCCGTTGTTCCCTCTCTCAGTTCCGCCACTCACCGTTGCAGCCACACACGGTAGACACCACCAGGGAGGTACGAGTACAGCCGCGCGAGCGCCTCCTCGTCCATCAATTCCTCGGGGATGCCGGTAATTAGGACCGTACTGGCCTGAGCAGTGCGCGAGTGTTTAGGCGACACGAGCCACTCCTGACGCGTCTTGAGCCACTCCTTCATCTCGAGCCAGAGAAGCGTCATGATCCAGCCTGACGTCAGTCTCAGGCGCACCGACCTCGCCACACCACTCCGCAGTTGCTTACCATTAAACAAGTAAGCAAGGCACAGATGGGCCCAGTACCGCTTGGGTCTCCCATTCGTGTTGGACATGGCGAACATGTCCAGGCCGGATCTGGACGAGCCGCCAACTGAGTTGACGGGCAGCAGCACCACCCAGCTGATGAGCCAGATGGGGACAATTGCCTTCATGAGTAGCCGGAGGAAGCGGACAAACACGTATGGATCGACACCGTTCTTCTCCAATATTTCCTTGGGGTCGGCTGGCATCAGCACACCAGCAAGCTTCTCGCGCCTGCCAACAACAACACGCACCCATCAAGATCTTCCAGATCGGCTTGATCCAGTGCGTGCCGAGCGGCGGCGCCTGCTGATCCCGTGGCGGAATATATGTGCGCGGCTCGTATCTCTCGTCAGCCACGCTCCAGGAGAGACTTACACAGCACGGACGACGCGGCGGAGGCCGATCCACAGGACGAACCAGAGGAGCACAAGGCCCATGTTGGTCCACATAGACGCGAGGAAGGTACCAGTGTCGTACGTCTGCATAAACGACTGCTCGGTGCCGTTTGTGACATTTGTGCCGGTGTCATTGGCGGCGAGGACGAGCGGCAGACGCACGACGCCGCCGGACGTAAAGGTCATGGCGTTGGGACTGGGGTCAGCGGTGGTCAGCGGTGGACGGCGGCGACGTACAAATCATCAGGCATGATGGCTCGCGCCGCTATGGTACAGATGAGATTGATGTAGATGGAGCGATGGACATGGACGAGCTAGTAGCGATAGCCTGAGGTCGCTTGATGGCAGGCGCATGGAGGCATGGTGGATCACAAGTGCTCCCGATCTCTTGCATGGAGGGAGGCGGCCCTGCCGATCGTGCCGGACCATGTCTCCGCCGAGGATCCACCGAAAATTGCCAAATCCAGCAATAAGGAGAAGCCATGACATCATACACTGCCCGATTTACCCCTGGGTTCGGGCGTGTCATCCTCTCAATTAATGCCTGAAACTGCGCATTATCCAATACTTTGGCGCTAACAGGCCATTCACAAATAGTCGCTCGTTCGATTCGCGCACGGGCATGACGAACGTGGAGCATGCAGTTTAGCAGACTCACGGCCGCGCCGACAACGCACGCTGCGGCCGCTCGCATGTCCGGGGATGACCGACATGACGATGCTATCGCTGCCCGATCAAACGCCCAGCGATTCAGCGATCATCAGCGATCTGCGATAGGCATCATAATGTCAATCGTATCCCGAGATGCTGGGCCTCAATGCGGGGGCGCCCCTTCAGCCTCTCCGCATTACGCCTTGAGGCTGCCCGTGCCCCGCAAACTGTTCTGATCATTACATGCATACGCCTAGTGTCTCCTCAGTACCCCGCCTTTCCGAATGTGAGGTTTGATCTCGCTCGGCGACGCGGGGGCCAATATGTGCCTGCGGCGTCCCCTCACGCACACATAAGCGGCAGTACGACGCTACAAGCAATCGCCCTCAGCAATGGCCTGGTACGCCGCGCCGCACGCCCGCGTGAACGGGAGGGCACGCAGAGGCACATTCGCCAAAGTTTACCCATGAGCGAGGCGCAAAGCGCAGAGAAACCTGTCCGTGCCATGCTGTATAGGTCGCGATCGAGTCGGGCAGGATGCGGGCCCACTCCCCGATTTCCGCAACGTGCATTATGTGCAACTGCGGTCCCAAGTCACACTGTCCAGCAGATAGAAGGCCGCGAGTGCGATCGGAGCACCGAGCCAAACTTCATCGACACCCCTTGGCGGGTATTCGCGTATGGTAAAGTTCCAGCGTTGGGGCCCTAATTGTGCGGTGAAGAGCTCTGCTGGTTGTCGTGGACATGGCTGCCGACGACCAGAAGGATGACCTGGTGGGTGAGTATTCTCTCAAGACACTTGCCGCCGCCGACACAACTGCAAGCCCGGGGGGAGAGAGCTTCGGGCTGGGTCGGTCTGCAATGAGACGTCCTGCTGGCCAAAATATCTCCGACTATCGTAGGGCCTAGACCGTTGCACATGGACGTCCGCGTCTTGCAAGGCCATGTCCTTCTTAACTCAGAGATTGTCGAGGTCGCTCCGAAATGCAGTGACGGCTAGGTTGATCACCAATGTGCTGCTGCACGCATAACACAAGAATCAGCAGCGTCCATCGGCATTTCGGCTCGTGTGATTGTGTACTGAGTCCAGGTGTGTTTGGGCCTAGGAACGGGGACTGCTGTGGCGTGGGATACGCACATGTGCTTGTTCTCGTTGACGGGTGTTGAGCGTCAAAGAGGATCATGAGAGCTGCCAGTCTGCATCGGCGTAGGAGGTGTTGGAACTCGGGTCATGGTCGCAGACTTGGCTAGCTCTTGGTGCCAGTGTCTGTTAACGGCTGAACATGCCACATTTAGGGGAGCGGTTGAAGGAAATCAGGGGGTGAGCTCAGCTAACGAGCACTGTGGGCCGGGGAGGGGAGCGACAAGCAAGTGTAGGACTCGAAGACAGTTCTGAGGGAGTGTAAAGGGTCGCTCGGGGAGGTAAGGGGAGGTCTGGATGATTTGTCATGCGTCAGGTCGAGATTATATGTTGCACAGACAAGCAGAAATGAAAGGTCCGGGACGCAGCGCTAGTGTGCTTCGACGGTAGCTCGTCAATCACCTCGCCCGACCAAGCATCTCAACCGAATCCCGAAGCGGAGAGCAGAATGGAAGCCGTGCGCTTACACCATTCGATGATGAGGATCGCGCGCTTCGCGGATTAGCGAACCAAGTTCATCCGTGGACGGTAACGCTATCGCATGCATTTCTATGAGTGTGGAGTGGTGATACAAGCTCGCTGAGAGGTGAGATTACAATACAGTAGTTGGTTTGAGCATGGAAAGGCGCTGTGAGTGGTGGGTAATTACGTCTGGGTGAGCGTCTGCTTCTGCACGAGGTCGAAGTACGCGCCTCGCCGAGCCAGAAGCTCCTGGTGCGTGCCCTTCTCCGCCACGCGTCCCTCGGCGAGGTAGTAAATTATATCGGCGCGCTGAATCGTCGAGAGGCGGTGCGCGATGGCGAGGACGGAACGGCCGGTGGCGGCGTTGTCCAGCGCATCTTGTACGACACGCTCAGATGCCGAGTCGAGCGCCGCGGTCGCCTCGTCGAGCAGCAGTACGCGCGGGTTGCGGATGAGCGCGCGCGCGAGCGCCACGCGCTGCTTCTGCCCGCCGGAGAGTTGCACGCCCTTGCCGCCCACCTCGGTGTCAAGACCTGCGGGGAGGGAAGCCACGAAGTCGGCGATGTTGGCGTCGCGGCATGCCTGGGCCATCTGCGCGTCCGTTACGGCATCGGCGTCGAGCGCGCCCAGGAGGATATTGAAGCGGATCGAGCCGGTGTACAGCGTCGGCTCTTGCGAGACGAGGGCAATGGCAGAGCGATACGACGCGACGTTCAGATTGCGGATGTCCACGCCATCGAGGGTGATGGACCCCGAGAGGGGGTCGTAGAATCGCTCAATGAGCTGCACGGTCGTCGACTTGCCACAGCCTGATGGGCCCACCAGCGCGACGTACTTCCCGCTCGGAATTTCGAAGCTCAGCTCCTTGAGCACTCTCACGTCCGGGCGCGAGGGGTAGCGGAACGTCACGTTGTTGAACCTGATCTCACCGCCGACCGCGGCAGGGTCTAGCACGGTGCCTTCAGGCGAGAACGCATCGATCTCGGGCTTGTTGTTGAACAGCTTGAACAGGTTGCGGGATGCTGTGGCGGCACGCGACGCGTCGGGCACAAACATGAACATGCTGCCCGCCTGAATGGCCGAGAAGATGACTGCCTCGAGACAGATGAAAAACTTCTCCGTCGAGTAGCGACCCTCCGCGAGCCAGAGCGCACCGATATAGAATACGAGCGCGATGATGAAGAAGGCAATGGCCTGCGACGCGGCATAAAGCGCCTGGGATTTCCACGCCGCGCGAATCGAGATTTTTTCCGCCGCGTCGAGCGCCTGTGAGTACTCGGCCACAATGAGCTTCTCTCGCGTGAGCGAGGCCACGGTGCGGATCGACCCCGCGGCCTCAGTCGCCAGCTGTGTGCTGGTAGAGTACGTTTTCTTCGCGCGCTGATCTTTGAGCTCGACGACACGTAGGCGGACGTAGCCAGATGTGAAGATGAGGGGGATGGAGGCAATTCCGACGGCGGCAAGAAGCGGCGCATATACGAGACCAATGATGACACCAGCCCCGATGGTAGCGAACGAAGCCAAGATTTGGCCGAGCGTCATCCCAAAAAGACCTTGTACCTTCTGTGGATCTTCCGCAAGGCTCGCAGTGACCGACCCCGCTTCGTTGCGGTCAAACCACTCGACGTCGTGGCGCATGATGGCTCGAAACGCCTTGGTACGCAGTGCCGCTGCCGTGTTCCAACCCATCTGGGAGAACTACTTCGTCAGCGCAGCCAAACCTCACAACTCACCGGCGTCATCTGGAACCAGCAAACAATTCCCGAGCCGAGTGCGGCGATGAAGTACCACAGCGCCTTCTCTGAGAGGCTCCTCTTGACTTCTTGCCGGTCGGGGTTCTCAAAGGCTGCGATCGACTTGCCAAAAAGGATAGCCACGGCGGGGTACGACACACCGACGGCGATCGAGCCGACCAAGCCGACGAAGTACCACGGCCAGTGCTGCCTCCCGAGCTGGACGAGGCGGATGAATAAGGGCGCGAAGCCGACTCTCTTCTCCTTGCCGTCCTTGTGCTCGGAGGTTGTCAGGGTGCTATTTGCACGCTTCAGTTCGGCATGGGTTGGACCGCCGACGCGCTTGTCAGAACCGGGGGTGTCCAGAGCTGGCGTCCCCTCAGTGGTGGCAGAAGCAGCAGTGGCCAGCGCTACCTTCTGGTTGATGACAAGCTGGGCGTACACGCCCTGCGCAGCGATCAGCTCCTCGTGCGTCCCACTCTCAAGTATGCCGCCACTGCCCATGACAAGGATGCAGTCGGAATCCTTAATCGTCGACAAGCGGTGCGCTATGACGATGGTCGTGCGGCCTCGTGAGGCTTTGTCCAGTGCGTCTTGGACGACGCGCTCCGAGTTGGCGTCCAAAGCCGACGTCGCCTCGTCGAGCAACAGGATGCGTGGGTTCCCAATAATTGCGCGCGCGATGGCAATCCGCTGCTTCTGCCCGCCAGATAGAAGCATGCCGCGCTCACCAACCTGGGTATCGTAGCCTAGCGGCAGCTGCGAGACGAAGTCATGTGCATTGGCTGTGATGCACGCTTGCTTGACCAGCTCGAAGCGCTCCTCGTCAGAGGCATCCTCAAACGAAGAGCCGACGAGACCGAACTCGATGTTACTGCGCACCGATGTCGAGAACAGAGTGGGCTCTTGGCTCACTAGACCCATTTGCTGCCGGAGCCACCCGACGTTGAGGGAGCGCAGGTCGTGGCCATCGAACGTGACGCGGCCCTCGAGGGGATCGTAGAAGCGCTCAAGGAGCTGGATAACGGTAGACTTGCCGCTCCCCGATGCGCCGACAAGCGCGTACGTCTTATTGGCGTCGAAGGAGAGTGAGAGGTCGGCGAAGATGGGGATGTCCGGACGCGACGGATAGCGAAAGCTTACATTTTCGAGGGCGAGATGACCGAGGACGGTATTGGGCGGAAGACGGAGCCCATCGTCTGACGCCGAGTCGATGATAGGCACCGAGTCAATGGTCTGGAAGAGCTTCGCGGCCGCCGCCTGTCCCTTTGCGACGGCCTGGAGCTCGGGCGTGATCATGGCGAGGGTGAACGAGCCAATAATGATGGCGAGGAGGACGTTGATAATGACGCTCACGTCGGCCTTGCCCTGGGCGTAGAGGACGCCGCCGTAGTAGAATGCAAGCGCATATGCCGCGTACACGGCGAAGAACATGACCCCGACGCCCGTCCCGTCAATGATCGCATTCTTGTTGCCGATTTTGCGCGTCTTCTCGATGAGGGCGTCGAACCGCTCTCCAAGCAGTTTGGCGCTGGCAAACGCTTGAACGGTGCGTATCGACGAGATTGCCTCCTCGGCGAGCGAAGACGCCTTGCCTGTGTAGTGGAGGGTCTGCGCAGTGTATTTTGACAGCGCAAGATCCATGGCGAGGCCAGCAATCATGATGGCTGGAAGGACTGAAGTCAGGACGCCGCCCATACGTGGCGACCGAACGTAGGCAAGCACATAGCCTTCTGTCAGCAACACCGTCATCCCACCACGCCGCCACCCACCAGTAATGAATGTGGAAATGTACCCGGACGCAATAGGGATCTTCTCGCCGATGCCGATCTGGACAAGCAGCGTGTCGGATTGAATACGCGATGCAATCTCGCCCGCGCCGATGTTATCCAGCACATCGACTTCCTGGCGCAACACGGCGTGGAGGTACTTCTCACGAATGCGGCGGGCCTGACGCTCCGACGTCCAGTTATAGATGAGCATGTATAGATACGTGCACGTGAAATTACCAATGCCTGTCGTGAGCCCGGTCTGGCCGCCACCTACCGATGAGGGTGAGCCAAAGGGCCATCCTGCCCGCCTCGTGTTTGAGGTGGCGCCTGGCTTCGGACAGCGCAGAGGCTGTGTCGCCGGAGGTGTCGCCCATGCTGATCTGCAGCACGATCATGCCGTACTGTGTGAACGCCTTTGTGATCTCGCCAAAGAAGAGGGTCATCAGCGGTTGGGCGGCGCCAGCCCCTACGGCGAGCAGCAGACCGACGCCATTCAGCGCCAGCTCTACCCGGGTGGCGAAGCGGAAGAGGGTGGTGAGGCCGACGGGTTTGATGAAGTCTTCCTTCTTCTCGTCCGGGACGTCGACGGCCTCCGCTTTGGCCTTGCGGCGAGAGCGCCGCCAGGAGCGCCTCGCGGGCGTCTTCTCGGTGATGGGAGGGCTGTCCGTTTCTCCTTCATGGAGACTGTGGCGGGGTTCTGTCATTACTGGATGCTATGGTCCTGCATGTGTGTCGAGAGTAGGAGTGAGGGCGGCGAGGTAAGTGAGGACTGTACGTCGACAAGATCTCCGCTGCGCTTAAAGAGAGTGGGGGAGACCATAGCTCGATGTTGTGCGTCCATGCCAAGACATGCCAGAGCGCCGGAACCGGCAGCGTGGAGAGAGGAATGACAGAAGGAATCCCATGACAATAATGGGAATAAGGCGTAAACACCGCACAAGGCGGACATCATTGTCGATCTCCACGTCGGCGTGCGGAAACGCTCGCTCCCCCAAGCATCCCCTCCGCCAGTCATATCACTACCATGTCCAGTTCGCGATGCCGGCGATGATGCGGCTCTGCGGCATGCGGCAGGGGCATTCTATTGAGTTTGGTGCTCGTCCCGTCGTTTCACAGTGCTACGGACGGCGCGTCGATGGCCCAGTATTGTCGTCGCACCCATCCGTCTCCGCTGGCCACCCCGTCGGCGAGTGTATTCACTCACCCCTGCGGGCCATAAGCAGCCCCATTGTTGATGGCATGCCGAAGTCAAGACGCCAACGCGCCTGCTCGGCGAACTCGTCTCGGCTGTCGGAGGCCGATTAGGCCGACGATGTTTCCAACCTAATCGCCGCATCCTGCCAGACACGTTCTCACAGCGAGAACCGCCAAGCACCTACATCGGCTGCTTGCACAACGTACAACCAGGCGCGCCCATCCATTTGTACAGATCCGTCCCAGCTGTGCCCGTTCCCGCACGGCGCGCACGGGTCTGGCAGTCCGCAGGCCGCGCGGTTGCTGCCGAGACGGCGGTGGGCAGGATGTGGGTGACAGCGGGGAAGTAGTGGTCGCCACCTGTGGACACAGATCACCGAAGGTAATGCCCGCACACATGCGCTATCTGTAACCCGGGGTTCTTAACGAAACCTCCATGCACAGCGACTGCCACAGCGCCTGCTCGTCCCAGACAAGAGAATACAAGTCGGAACCAGCAAGGGCGTGCGGAGTCCAGAAACTGGCGTAGTACTCACTCGGCCCGCGGCCCGCGGCGAAATACAGTGGACTGTGGCCTGCGAGTCTGCTGTTCATGTGACGCCCAGCGCCGAGCTGTTTTCCCGCTGACAAGAATGCGTTCGCGTGGCGCCCGTCCACGCGCCCATCTACGTGCCAAGGCGCGCGAGTCTGTGAGACTGAGGCTGCGTTGCTGAGACTTGTGGTAGGTGTGGTGGGCTGGCCGGATGCCGGGTATGAGGTGCCGGACATGGCCGCCGGCCGCCGGCATCGGTGGGGAATCGCTGGGGGCCCATACCGATACCGGCAATCACAACAATCGGCCTGGAGCGTCCCGCGAGGTCACAGAGGTGGCTGCGGCTTGCTGCGACTATAAACGTGACTGACTGGTGGGGACGTGGCGGTACGCAGCCCACTCTCTCCATCACACCATGACAGTCACCCCGAAGCCGCACCTCTCCGCCGAAGGCAAGGCCAAGCTCGACGCGCTGCTCGACGCCAAGGTCGCCGAGAAGAAGATCCCTGCCATCTTCTTCGGCGCGTCCACGGCCGACGGCGAGATCTACTACAACGCCAAGGGCGACAAGGTGCACGGCGAGCCGGACAAGGGCCAGGTGGACGAGAACACGAGTGCGTCCCCCCCCCCCTCCCGGGCATGGCTGACCGCAGCGGTGCAGCTCTTCTCGCAGACCAAGTTCCTCACGTCGCTCGCATGCATCCAACTGTGGGAGAAGGGTCTCGTCGACTTCGACGACGAAGAGTTGATCAAGAAGCACCTGCCTGAGCTCGTGGAGCAGCCCGTCCTCGAAGGCTTCGAGGCGGACGGCACGCCGCGCCTCGTGCCGCGCACGACGCCGCTCACCCTCCGCCGGCTGCTCACGCACACCTCCGGCCTCTCGTACTCGTTCCTCACGCCCGAGCTTATCGGCCGCTGGCAAGTGATGAACAAGAAGCCGGGCTTCCTTGACAAGAACGTCGGCATCGAGGCCCTCGTCGAGCCCCTCACGTTCCAGCCGGGCACGCGGTATGGGTACGGCATCGGCATCGACTGGGCGGGCGTGCTCGTCATGCGCATCACCGGCCAGAAGCTCGGCGCGTACTTTGACGAGCACATCTTTGGGCCGTGCGGCGTCAAGAACATCTCGTTCTACCCCACCAAGGAAATCAAGGCGAACCTCATGCAGCTGTGTGGGCGCGACGCGACGCCCGAGCGCAACCTCATCCACACCGCCGGCTTCCGTGATGTGCCGGCCCTCGAGCCCGAGGACATTGGGCTGCACATGGGCGGCGCGGGCCTCATCGGCTCGCCCCGCGAGTACATGACCATCCTCCGGCACGTGCTCCAATGCAAGGACAAGGACGGGCTCATCAAGCAGTCCACGTACCCCATGCTGTTTGAGAACGCGCTCCCGCCCCGCGAGAAGGAGGGCAAGAGCCACACCTGCTACCGCGACCTTGGAGGGATCATCTCGCTCCTCGGCGACACCGAGGTCAAGTTCGCATCGGGTGAGAAGACCCACCACTCGCTCGCGCTCTGCGTCAACGACGACGACTCGGAGAACGGCAGGAAGAAGGGTACCGCCTTCTGGGGCGGCATCGCCAAGACCAAGTTCTGGATCGACCCCGCCACGGGCATTGTTGTGAGTATCTGGACGACAGGATGAGTAGAGCTGACTTCCAGGCCGTCTGTGGCACCCAGCTCATGGACCAGCTCGACCAAACCGCGACTGTCAGCGTGTGGAAGGCGTACGAGCGCCTGCTGTACGATGTTCTCGAGTAGGCGTATGCGTGTGGTAGTACGCGCAGGGTATTGGGTTTAGTTCGTTAGGGATGCATTCAGAAGTTGGTATCGCGATGAGTTGCAGCTGTCTGATTTCGCAATGAGAGTGGCATGGGTTTGTATATTATAATGCTCTAGTAGGCTATCTAGTTGGCCCCCTGGACCTGCCTGCGGGCCCTCTCCTCGGCCTCGCGGGCACGCGCGGCAATCACCTCGTCCGCGGTCTCCTCCTTGCTACGCAGCACAATTTCCTTGTGCGGCTCGATGGTGTTGTGCGCCTTGCCGAGGTAGAAGTCGACGGTGAGGCATCCGGCAACGAGGGCGAGGAAGCAGACGACGAGGGCGGCGAGGAAGAGGCCGTACAGCGACTCGGTGTACGCGCGCACAATGAGGTCGTGGGGCTCGGTGGCGCGCGCGACGAGGATGCTGCCGAAGATCTCGGCACGCTGCGTCTCGTTGTATATGTCGCCGAGGTAGCGCTCGAGGCGCATGGGCACCTGCTTGTTCCAAACGGCGCCGGAGATGGCCGAGGCGATGGAGCCGCCGAGCTGCGTGCAGAGGTTGAGGATGGCGACGGCGAGCGCCATGTCCGCGTGCGGGACCGAGCCCTGTGTCGCGACCAGCGTCGAAGTTACGGTGATGGCGCCGCCGATGGAGACGAGGACGCGCGAGACGATGAGCACCGCGTCGCTCTGGTTGCCGTTGACCGCGAGGAAGTTGATGCCCTCAGCGATGACGCGGATGACAAGACCCGCGATTTGCAGCATCTTGTAGCGGTGCGTGTAGCGCTGGATCAGGCCCGAGAGGACTGCGAAGCCGCACAGGCCCACAGTCAAGATGTTCGAGAAGTATGTGTAGTCGCGCGCACTCCATCCCGGCTTGATGATGTACACCCACGAGAGGTAGTATGTGTCAGTGAGGTAGCCGGTGAAATAGTAGAGGAAGTCGATGGCGATGCAGCACAGGAAGGTGCGGTTCATGACGCGGCGGGGCATGATGGGGTGTGCGGCGAAGCGGAACTCCCAAACCATGAACGCGATGGCGAGCACACCGCCGACACAGTACATCGCGATGAGGGAGGGGTTGGTGTACCCGCCCTTGGCGGTGGTGCTGAGCGTAGCCGGGGCGAGGAGGCAGACGAAGGCGAAGCCGATGAGGAGGAGGCCGAACGCGTCGATCTGGCTCCAGTAGTACTTGACGTTCTCGAGGAGGGAGCGGCGCTCAGTGCCCTTGAGGACAGCCTCGCGGGCGTAGCTGGACGAGGCGAGGGAGAGGGCCCCGAGCTTCTTCGCGCGGTGGTGGCCCCAGAAGAGGACAACGAGGGACGGCGCGATGCACACGGGCACGAGGATGCAGAACATGCCGTAGCCCCAGCGCCAGCCGTCGTTGGAGAAGGCGCTGATGCCCTCGGTGATGTAGCCTGCGACGAAGGCGTTGAGGACCCACGGCAGCGAGTAGGCGCCGATGACGGCGCCACGCCACTGAAGACTCGTGATGTCGGCGATGAGGATGCCCGTCACCTGGGTAATGCCGGAGGTGCCGAGGGTGTAGATAACCTGGCCGGCGACAACGGCCTGGACGGTGCGGGAGGACGCGACGAGGATGAAGCCAAGAGTGTAGAAGAAGACAGCGAGAGAGAGGGCGAAGGGACGCGAGAGGAGGTCGGCCATCTGTTGTCAGCGGACTCCAAAAGCACTGCTCACCTTGGCGATGAATGGCTGCGAAACGCCAGCCATGATGCCCGTCACAACGGAAATCGTGCCGATGATGGTGTGCTCAGAGTAGGACGAGGTGGCGAAGGATGCGTCTGCGATTAGCTGGGCAACAGAAACCGACTCACAAGTGTAGGTCGTGCTGTTGCTGAGGGTGTAGACGTAGCACACGAGAGCGATCGAGCCCCAGAGCAGCCAGAGCTTCCATCCCTTCCCGAACACGAGGTCTAACGTCAGCCCGTCCTCTTTTGCAACCCACAAAGACTCTCGATCTTGGTGACCCCGGCGCCCTGCTCGATGCTGCTAGCGTTGTCCGCGACGACGGGCTCCTTGACCTCGCCGGCCTCGATGTCGGTCTTTTCCGACGGCCGCGTCTCGAACTCTGGCCGCTCGAACGGGATCGTGGGCGGCGCCATACGTGCTTGTGGCTGTGACATTTTGGTGGGACGCTCTCACCTCTTCCAGCCGCCTCGTCGCCGCTTTAAAGCATCGACGCAGTGGAGCGCAGCAAAATGCTCATCTCAGCATCCTCCCGGCCGTAGAAATTATCAGATAGCCAAGCTCAGGGCGTTCGGCCGCCCTAGCGAAGTTACCGAGAAAATCCTCATCAGCCACGAATCACGCCCGATGCTGCGCGTGGCTCCGTGCCGCATCTGCTTCGGACGCCCTGGTGCGGCGCCGGGCGGCGGTCGCAGAGTAGCTTGGCGGTATATGTGTGGGCGCGGTCGGAGAGATGGAATGCCTGGTCGGCCGACCACGCTCTCTACCCTCGACATGTGACGAAAGACTCCAGGCACGCAGTGGTCGCTACTTCGCTATTCTCGTCGGCGCGACTCTGCCAAGCACGACACCGTCGGTGGCCCGGCTCTTCTTGGCCTGCTTCTGTCTCGGTATCCTCGCTGCTGCCTGGGGCTCGCTGAGTGTCACAATCTGTCCCCGAGGTTATCGAGGCGGAGCGCATCGGGTTCCAAGAATGTGAGGGTGTGCGCGGAATGTCATGAAGATAGAGGTACCATCTGGAATCACGACTGGTTTCATGCTCTAGATTTTGGACGGACGTGGGGCTGCGTGGGCCACGGGTTGAGCTGCCGTCGGGCGTCAGTTCTGAATGGGCGAGACTATTATTCTCAGGCCGGCAGGAAAAGGGGAGCTAGCAGGAACAGGCGGCAGGAACACGCTGAATGCTCCAGTCGATCCCACCGACAGGGCACCAGCTGTTGTTGCCAGCAATCCAGACAGTCCCACCACGCTCCCACGGCACACCGATCTTTGTCAGCATCACATCAATGCGCGCAGTTCTGGAAAACAAAAGTGGAGCGTGCACGTAGAGCGGAGCAAGCAGCGGGCCCGATGAACATGACGAGTAAGTATGTCGGGCACGACGCCAATATTCTCGATGGCCAGGCGCACGGTCTGGAGAACACTGAAGAAGTGGTTGCCCATACTGGTGCTAAGCTCGCGCGCCGGCTCACTCTCCAGACTCTCCAAGATCGCCCATGTGTGCCGATCACTTGGCGCGAGCCGGGACCCGCTCATAGCCATGCCAAGACTTGTGGTAAACAGTACATCGCCCGACCTATATTTGCGTGCGGATGGGCGGCAGCCGCATGCCCGCGAGGATATCTGGCCGCGCGGCGTCCACCGTGTCCCAGCTGCCGTCAGCGCGCTCGCGCCCGACTCACGGGGGCATGCGGAGCGGCAGGTCGTCGAGGCTCTCCCAGTCCAGCCCGCGGCCCTTGAACACGGTCTTGACGAGCTTGGTGTACTCGTCCCAGAAGACGGCGTATCCCTCGCTCGTGAGATGCAGGCCGTCGCTGATGTCAGAGTGACCAGGGCCCTCCTTCTTCGCAATCGTTTTGGCACTCTACCTCGCCGATCCGACCCACCTCAAATACTTGGCGAGCTCCTCGCCCTCGCCGCCAGCCGCCTTGAGTGTCGCACCCCACATGTCGACTGTGCCGATCCGCCAATTCTCCCCCGCCTTGCCCGCGTACTCCTCCCCGAGACGGAGGACGACGTCGGCATACGCCTTCGTCGTGGCGGGCTCGCGCTCGCGCGCGAACGCCCCGCCTCCCATGAGGGGTACACACAACGGCGGCGGCGTCACGAGCACGATATTGAGGCCGCGCGCGTGCGCGACGGCATACGGCGACGCGGGCGACGTCAAGCCCTCGAGGAAGAAGCGGAGGTTGGCCTCGTACTCGTCCAGCGGGACATGTTGGGCCACAGCCTGTTCCGCGTCGGGGAGGACGGAGTCGTTCGCGCCTGCGTTAGACGGAGCGGAGGGGACGTACCGAACCAAATCGTGACAAGGCGCACGACGGGCACGTGTCCCGCCTCGTCGGCCTTCGCAAAGATCGTGTCGAAGATCTGGCGCGCCCTGTATTAGCAAGCCCGCAGCCCGCGAGGGACGTACCACCGCGTGTTGTAGCCCCCGTATCCGCGGTTCAGGATGTCGAGCGTGCGGCGGTACGCGTCTGTGTGAGCTCGGCAATGGGAGGACGCACCGCAGAACCGCGCTTGCATCGACCCCGGGACGTACTGCTGCGACGTGATGGAGTCGCCCTGGTGTCAGCGCGGAAACGAATGACGCACGAAAAGGACGACGGCGTCCTGGAACGGCGCGGCCATGGAGTGCGGAAGAGGTGGATGGTGGTTGGGAGAGGATGGGCAGATAGATGTAAGTCCATCGACGCGGAATGCTAGTCACCGGCCGGGCCGGGGCTTTTTCGGCCCGATCTGGGGTACGCCGGCCTCCATCCCGCTCTTGCGGCACAACGAGAACAGCTTCAGTGTCTACAATGTACGAACTCATGCTAATACGCATACCCCTCGGGCGTGGGGAACGAGACGTCGAGCCCCGTGCGCGCCTTCATCGCGTCGACCCACGCGGCGACGCGCGGCAGGCTGTCATGGTACCACAAGCGGGGGTTGACCACGCGCGCATTGACCTGCGAACAGCAGTACCAGCCGTAGACGATGGAGTCGGCGTGGCTCGCCTCCCGGCCGAGGATGAACGGGCCCTCCTCGTGGGAGAGGTAGTTTTCGAGGACAGCGAGGCTTGCGCGCGCGCGCACTGCCTTGCGCTCGACGTCGGGGAGGCTGCGCAGCGCGGCGCGGTGCGCCGCCAACTCGTCCGCTTGGCCCAGGTATCGCACACGCACAAAGTACTCTTTTGACGCGGCGTCGTTGAGGTCGTAGAACAGCGGGCGGAAGAGCTCGCGGATGCTCAGCGCCATGTCCCCGTCCGTCCAGGCCGAGAGGAGGCGGGCGAGGCGGTGCGCGTCGCGCGTCGGGAAGAGCGTGGGCGTGGGCGCGCGCGCGTCGAGCCACTCAGCGATCTTGAATGAGTCCGTGACGTATTCGTCGCCGGCGCGGAGTGTGGGCACCGTCACTTTGTCGTTGCCGCTCGCGCGCGCGAGGTCGCCCCGGATCTCGGCGAAGGTGAGTTTCGTCTCGGTGTAGGGGATGCCGAGGATGCTGGGGTGAGCGGGGCCGAGCGAGTCCGAGCGAGCCCGCAGGGCGAGCGGGCACAGGATAAACGTGCACAGAGAGAAAGTCGAGGATGCAGAAAGCGGCGTGGAGGACAGCACGGAGACGGTCCGAGGCCACGGAACGCTCACTCACGCCAAATCGCTCTTCGTCTTGTTCACGTGCATCGAGTGGCTCGGCAGCGTCTTCTCGGCGTTCGCGCAGAGCGTGTAGAGCGTGTACTGCGGTGTCGACGACATGGCGCGTGCGAGGCGGGGGAGCATGGTGAGTGTCAAAGCGCAGGACTGCAGATGACTGGGTCGCTTATTCAGCTGGGCCGGAGCATGACACCCAACTTGAGCATGTGCGGAATGCTCGCTCAGTCCGCCAAGCTACGAGCTGCGAGCGCAGCACGGCATCCATCCACAACGCCGGCTGCGTCCGCTCCGCGCCGAACGCCGAGAATCAGACGTTCAGACGAGCGAGGGCCCGACCGGTCGTGATATCTCCAGTGTCTATTCTCGGCGTCTTCAGGCACTTCTAATCAATCGCAGCAAATAGCAATACAGGCATAAGACTCTATACTCTATCTATCGTACAGCCGCCCTCGGCTACGCCCAGCGGCCCAGAAGAGCCATGAGCCCCGCCCCCAGCGCCATGCACACGAAGACGTACGCGAGGCGCGCGTCCGAGCTGCGCATCATGCGCGGATTGAGCAGGATCTCGTGCGCGAGCAGCTCCACGAGCCCAGTGTAAAGCAAGATACCAGCGGAAATGGCGTCGAGCACGCCGGAGACGATGAGCTTGGCCTCGCCATTATCGTTGTACGTGCGGCGCACGCCGAGGCCCACGGCCACGCCAACGGGAGTGCACACGGCGTAAAGGACGGCGGCGGCGTACCGCGCCCACTCGCGCGACGGGAGGTGCAGCCCGGCAAGGCGCGAGCCGAGACCCAGCCCTTCGAACATTTGGTGGAAGACAATCACGATGAAGAGGACCACGAACTCGTCGCTCACCGCCAGCGTGAGGCCGATGATGATCGAGTGCAGGATCACGCCGAATTCGAGGACCGCGACGGCGACGAGCTGCGCGGCCGCTTCGGCTGGTGCGAGGGACGACGTCTCGCTCGCCTCCTCTTTGCTCGGGAGGGCGAGGGCGAGCTCGGGGTCCGTGACGTGATCTTCTGGGAGGCTGTCGAGCTCGTGCGCGTGCGCTTGCGAGTGTGCGTGCGAGTGGGAATGCGAGTGCGAGTGCGAGTGCGAGTGTGCGTGCGCGTCGCCCGCGTCTGCATGTGCGCTGACTAGCCCGAGCTTGGCCAGCCGCCGCGAGCCGATACGGTACGCCGCGACTTCGGCGAAGAACATGGCGAAGACAGAGACCATCGCGAGCGCCGGCGCAAAGTCGTACTCCGTCCATGTGCCCGAGAGGCATTCGGAGCCGAGCGCGTCAAACGCCGGCGCGAGCAGGTGTATGAAGGCTGTGGCTATGATGACGCCCGAGCCAAAGTATTTCGCAAAGTCGAACACGGGGCGCGGGACCACAGTGCTGCGGCGCAGGACGATGGGGAGCACGGTGCCGAAGAGACTCGTGGCGAGGATGATGAAGATTGCGCCGATGCGCAGGCCCCAGTGGCTCTCGCTGAAGGCTGCGGCGCAGTCGGGGGCTTCGGCCGGCATGGCGGGGGCTTCGGAAGACATGGCGGGGGTGTGTGAGGGGGGTGGGGGACTGCTGGGAACAGGTGGACAACAAGTGGTGCGCCGCTGCTGAGGTGGTAATGAGGCTGGGAACAGTCGTGAAGAGGGCTGAAAACCAACCACCCACTCCAGTCAAGGCTTTTGTACACCTCTCGAGATCTCAGCGTAAACTACAAAGATATTTAAAGACGGCGTCATGTCGGCTCGTCTGTGGTAGGCTGAGAACGAGGTGTGCCACATTCCAGGATGAGTACCCGACCGGTCTTCATGTGTCAGGGACCGTCCACCGCTGACTAGAGCTCCAGAGCTCCTCGATGGAGAACTCGGCGAGCGGTTGAATGGCGACTGAATGCGCGCAGCTCGGGGTCATCTGGAATGGCGGTCAGTCAGCCGCTGTGACAGCGATCCCCGTGACCGCGAGATCTCGCGAGCAGCTGAGCAAACTTTTCTTGACGCACAGTTTTGTCACCACCACCACCAGCACCTCATCCTCATCCTCGCCGTGACTAACCCCACGTCACGACAGAATGCATCACTATACCCAAACAGCAATACTGAAAATTACACCGGCGCTTGTGTGTCCCGAAATAGAAGAATCGCGATGTACGCGTAGGAATAGAAAGAAGAAACAAGAGGACGAGGCGGTCTGGACAGCATGGTCGGATCTACTTGTGCGCGAGGCGTTCCTCGAGCGCGCGCATGCGCTCGCGCAGCTCATCAACTTCACGGCGGTCCGCCGCGACCGCGCGGTCCACCTCGTACCGCACCATCTCCTTGAGCGAGTCGGCACTCTCCTGCAGCGTCCGTAGCAAGCTCGACGCTCTGTTCGCCGTGGCCTTGAACTCGCTCGACTGCGCCATCTGGTTCGTGTACGCTTGCTCGGAGCGGTGCAGTACCTCCTGCATCTGGAAACGCTGCTGCTCGATGCTGGACAGGAGGTCGTACATCTGGTTGAAGGGGCCGAGGAACTGCTCACGCGCGTGGTTTGTCGGCGAGGGGCTGATGGAATACCCGCCATTCTGGCGATGAACCGCGCCGTTGCGCATTGCCGCAGAGGGCGGCCCCGGGCCAATCGGGTGTGTAGCACCATGAGGAGAAGGTGGGTAGTGGGAAGCACCAGTGTGTAAAGAGGGGATGGAGAAGTTGCGGCGATCAGCAGTGTTCGGCTGTTGGGGTTGCTGTTGCTGCTGCTGCTGTGGGGGACGCGCACCAAGCTCTGGTGGGTAGCGCATGTCACGACGCGACGCACTGCTGGCGGATGGCTGACCCGACACGCTCGAACGGTGCAACTGCTGCTGCTGCTGCTGCTGCTGCTGCGCCTGACTCTGGTGGTACGGCTGCTGCTGGCGAGCAAAATTGCTCTCCTCTGGCCGCCCAGAACGTGTGTGGGAGAGGGGCGCAGTACGTGGATCTGGGATATAGTGAGCCGAGTGAGGATGGCCGGGGTAGTGCATGGGCGGTAAGATGTGTTGAGGCATCGCCGTCTGCGATCCAGAGGGCGGATCCCTAGGCGATTGCTGCTGCGACGCCAAACCCTGGTTGAGCGGGGCACTCTTTGATCCGGGGACAACGTCCTTGTCACTTGCAGAGGTGACAATGCTCATCCTTTCAACTTTATCGCGCGTCTTCTCACGGCGTGCTCCAACGCCGCGCTTCTCAGGATCCTTTGGGGTCCAACCTTTGAATGTCAATTCGCGTGGCGTCGAAGGCTGGCTCGCTGCCATCTCCTTGCGCCTCTGGGCGATCAATGCTTGCTGCTGCTCCTTGATGCTGATCGTGTCGCGAACAGTCTTCAACTGATCTCCGTCGATGCTCTTAAAGTCGAAGCCAAGAACCACTGGGGATGGGACAGGGGGGTCGCCGCCGTCGTCACGTCCCCGAGCTTCACGAGAAGCGGCAAAACCGATAGGCTTGATAGGCGCGAGATTAGCTGGGCGGCTTTTGGTGGTAGTTGTAGGCTGTGTGTCGCGGGGTGGCGAGTTTGCAGTCCCCTTGGAGCTGGGGGGCGAGTCGCCACTGGGACGGCCGCTGCGGCCGCTTCCCGGGCCAGTGCGGCTGCGCTTCTCTGGGCGCGAGTGGTCGTCGTCGGCGCTGGGGTGTTAGTAGTGCACTGCACTGGAAAAGTGGGTCTCTTCCACAGCCCACTGCCCACTGCCCACGCGCTCCGCGCGCCACGCGCCACTCACAGTTCGTCACGCTCACGGCCCTTGCCCTTCCTGCGGTCCTCGCGGTCGAGGTCGCCGGGGTTTACGGAGGATGGAGAGGGACTGCGAGCACCCGGAGGGGTGGTGTTAGGTGGGGGGTCACGAAGGGAAGAAGTGCTGTAGATTGGAGTTGTCGGGGAGTGCGAGTCGGCGGCAGCAGCAGCAGCAGCAAGGACAAGGGCGTGGGGGAGAGACCGACGAGGGGGAGGGGGAGTGGGATGTTCCGTAGACAAAGGCCGATGAGACATGGGCGTTGAGGAAGAGGAAGGTGAGGGGGGCGATGGGGAGGGGGAGGGGGATGGGGAGGGGGAAGCCGAGGTTGTTGCGGCGATGTGTGGGCGACCGGCGGCGGAAGCGGCGGCGACGTGAATCATGAGAGGGAAGTTTGGGAAGCGGGCCATGATGATGGCGAGAGAGAGTGAGTGAGAGAGAGAGAGAGAGATGTTGAGGATGGAATCGAGTAGTTGAGCAAATTGGTGTCAGCGCGACGTTGCAGCCCCTTCCCCCCCCCTCGGTTGCTTCTTCTTGTCAACCGCCGCCACCCAGATCCTCGTCGACTCTTTCAGAAAGCACGGGCCTTCTTGCTCGCCTCTAGCGCCCTCGTTACTCATCCTCCATCGTGGCGCCACAGCCGCAGCTCTCATCCATGCGCCCTCCCCGTTGAAGTGACGACGACGACGACGACGACGACGACGACGACAAAGACGGGGATGCAGCTCTCTGCAGATTGAGATATGCGGATACCGCATCCATGGACTGGACCAAGACGTTGCCCCTGCGCCTTGCCCCTGCCGTCTCACCCCACGAGTGCGCCACTTGTCTTGTGTATGTGTGACTTGGGACTCGAGACTTACGGATGCATGGCCGAGTGGCCGTGGTAGTCGAACCGTCCTCGGGCTGGGCTGATTGCTGCCATCGTGGGGTGTGTTTGTGTGACGCCTGTCTCTCGGTGTCAGAGGCAGACTGGTGAAGGTGTTGCGTGCGTGGCAGGCGAAGGGCGGCGGCGTACGTTGACTGGCGAGAGGAGCGAGAGTAGTCGAGGATGGGGGGCGCCTGAGACGGAGAACGGAGAGAGAGGCTGCTGCCTTGTCGACGACGACGACGACGAGGGCGACGAGGGCGTTGTGGAGGAGGGATATGCACGAGCGAAGACGGCGTCTGTGCAATTCCAGTGTCCGTGCGTGTTGTGTGGGTGTAGCTAATCGCGTGAATCAAGCAAGATGTACGAGTCGAGTACAAGTTACTAGTGTCGTCGTTGTTCCAGTGGCAAATGGATAATTGGATGGCGATGGCGAAGAGAGCAACAAGAGCAACGACCAGAGCAATTATCGCGATGCGATGCCGTAGTTTTAGGCGGGAACAGGTGGAAAGGGGAGCTCCAAGGGGCAAACCAAGGGAAGTGCCGTTCCTCCAAACTCTGGCGCGCGCTGAGAGCTCAGAGTGTCTGTTCTGTTCACTTCCGACGAGACCGGCAACGGCTAGGGGCACGGAAGGCGGGAACGGGGGGAACGGGGGGAACGGGAGCGACGCAAGATGAGCTGCACGGATGTGAACAGAGGACGGATGATGGGAGTGGGAGATGAGGAGAGATGCGTGTGTAGGAGGGGGATCGGGGGATACGCGGGCGTGGCGAACGGTGTGGAGAGGGAGAGTGCTGTTGACGTGTGAACGTGGACGTGGACGTGGGAGAGAGAGACAGAGAGAGAGAGAGAGAGAAAGAGACAAGAGTGCTAGCACCGCGACGACGACGACGACGACGACGACGAGATGAGTGATGGCAACACGAGGGGTATGCAGGGAGGACAGCACGAGGACAGCCGTGGGGAAGAAAATGGGCTCTCCTGTGCCGGCAGAGACTATCCGTGGGGAGCTCTGAGAGCTCAAAGCGAGCGACGCAGCCCTCGAAGCGCTCTCCGGCGCCAGCAGCACATGTTAGTGGAATCAAGGAACGGAGCTCGGCGGCGCTGGGTGACTGGCATGGCTAATGGGTGGCGGCGGCGGCTTTACAATTAGACAAAAGTAAACCATCTGTCTCCCTCTTTCCCTCTTCCGCTCTGCCTCTCTCTGCCTCTCTCCGCTCTCTCCCCTCTCTCCCTCTCTCCGCCTCATCCTCGGAAGAGCAGTCTCCAGGAGCCACAGCACCCGACGAGGCTCAGCCGCAACGCTGAATGAATTACGACCATCTCGACCGGTGAAACGCAGGGTCTGGGCCCCTGGCTCCCCCTGGCTCCCCCTGCCATCCCCTGCCGCCCCCTGCCAATCTCCCTGACACACCCCTGATCCCCGGCGCACGGCCACGGCCGCCCAGGGTTCTCTGAGGCCGCGCTAATTCACGCTCATGTTGTTATTATCAGCTGGCTGTTGTTATCGTCAGCACGATGTTCAGCTGTCGACATTAGGCGAGCTAGTGGACCAAGTAGTCTGGCAACAGTGGAGCGGGGAGCATGACACCTCCGACGCCGCGCCGAGCCGCCGAGCCGCCGAGCCGAGCTCGGAGAGCCAGCCCGCCCCACCATCCCACCATGGTTTGCGCCACACGCTTAATATGTCACGCCGGGACTCAAATTATCTAGTCTATGCAAAGTACGAACCCAAGTGGTGTCTACACCTCGCCCTTTGGCCCCTCTGCCCCCGCCTCCTCCTTCTGGTGCTGCGCGGCGGCCGCATCCTCCGCCGCGCGGAGCTTGCGCATACGCTCCGCCTCCTCCGCCTTACTCGGCATCTTGGCGTTGCGGACACACACGGCGCCGGCGAGCGCCAAAATGCTCCCCGGCACGCCGATGAGGAACACGACGCGCACGGTGTGCGCGTACGCGCGCAGCGCGCCCGGCCTCATCTCGGGCGGGAGGGCCCATAGCGCGCCGGCGTCGCTCGTGAGCGCGCGCACGAGGTGCGGCGGGAGCGTGGGTGCGTAGCGGCGTAAATTGGCTTGGATCATGTTCCCGAATACGGAGCCGGCGAGGGAGAGGCCCGCGATGCGGCCCGCAAAGCCCAGGAACGTGCCCGCCCCCATGCCCATGGCGATGAGGCTGGGCTCGGTGCGCAGGTCGAATTGGATGCTGACCATGGTGTTTTGGAGCGCGAGGCCGATGCCCGCGCCGATGATGATTTGGAAGCCGTACAGGCGGGAGAGGGGCGTGTGGGTGTCGACCGTGTACAGCAGGCCGGAGCCGAGGGCTATGAGCGCCGGCCCGGCGACGATCGCCCATTTGATGTACCCGACTAAAGGGATGATCCGGGACGTGATGATCATGACTACGATCTGCGTGAGGATTAGCGGGAGGAGGCGGACGCCGGCGCCCGTCGCGGAGAACCGCCACTGCGTTTGCAGCGCCAGCGAGAGGTAATATACGTCGACTGGGGTTAGTGATGCCAGGGGCGGACGCACTCATGAACACGAAGAAGAGGAAGAAGACGACGACCGTCGCGCCGGCGATGTTGCGCCGGCGCAACAGGTCCAAGCGGAGCATTTGGCGCTGGGGCCCAAGCCACGCCTCGTAGCCGAGAAAAATAGGGACGAGGACGGCGGCGAGGACGAGACACGCGACGACGGCCGGGTCAGACCACGCGCGCGTAATCCCGCCCCACTGCAGGCCGAGGATGAACGCGCACGCCCACCCCATGGCGAGCAGCACGCCGCCCCAATCGCAACGCACGAGCTGCCGCACCATGTCGCCCCCGTAGCCTTTGTAGCTTGCCTTGCGGCCCATCGGCGCCCGCGCGGGCTGCACCACCGCCTGCAGGAGCAGCGCGACGCCGCCGAGCGGGAGGTTGATGTAGAAGCACCAGCGCCAGGATACGTGGTCGGCGAACGCGCCGCCGACGAGCGGACCGATGACGGACGCCAGCGCAAAGCAGATCCCGATCAGTGCCATGTATTGCGCGCGCGAGTGCAACGGGGTGATTTCCGCAACGATCACCATCGCACCGCTGAAGATGCCTGCCGAACCGGCGCCCGCGATCGCGCGCCCCAAGATGAGTACGTTCATGCTCGGCGCGACGGCGCAGACGAGCGAGCCGACCTCGAAGATGAAGACGGCGAAGAGGATGACGTGTTTCGAGGGGAAAATCTGGAGGAATTGCGCGTAGAGGAGGTTGAGGGCGAAGAGGGGAAGGCTAGGGTTAGCGCGGGCGAGCGGGCGGACGAGCGAGCGCAGCGAGCGTAGTCTCCAGCGCAGAGAACGTAGTCTCCAGCGCAGAGAACGTAGGCTCACCGCCAAGGTCGTGCCAGAGGTCGGGCAACTCACAAAAACCCGTTCGCCAACCATGTCAGCTTGCTGAGCGCATCAAACTGGCTCGTAATCTTCGGAATCGCCGTCGCGATAATCAGCTGGTCGAGGGCGAAGAGGAAGATGTTGATCATGAGGGACACGATGACGCCCCAGAAGCGGAGGCGGGGGAGCTGAACATACGCGCCGGACGGGCCTTTGCGCCCTCCGGCGGCGGTGTCGGCGCGGTCTTTCGCGCTGTCGTCTTTCGCGGTGTCATTGGCAGTGTCATTGGCGACGTCTTTGGCGACGTCTTCGATCTCGTCGACGGTGGTAACCGCTGATAAGGGCGGCATGTCAGGCTTGGACTCGTCCGTCTTCTCCGCGGGAGATACGCTGTGTGGTGGCGACATCGCGAGTTGCTGTGGACAGCGACACGGCACGCTTGTTTATATCTTGCGGTATGCGGTATGCGGTATGCTGGTCACCACGCTGGTCAGTGAAGCCGAAACGCTGGATCAGTGCGTGCCGGTCAGTGCTAGCCCCACATCCACCGACCCCGGACCTCGGCGACGCTAGTGACGAGTAGCGGCCATTCCACTTGTCTACTGCCCGTGAGGCGACATGCCGAGCTACAGCCACATTCCGCACCGCATCAAAATAGACGCGGCACGGCCACGAGTCGCGGCACAGCGACGCGGCGACGCGCAGAGTGGCAGGAGGTGAAGACCGGCAAAGCCGGCCTAGCGTCGATCATCGTGATCGCGAGTGAGACATTCGAGGTATTAAGAAGCGTCGGCGAGAGGGGGTGAGCAGGCCGAGCTGGCCGAGCTTCGGCCTCGGCGTGGATGTCGTGGCCGAGGTCGCGTGGCCCGCGCGTGGCCCGCGCGTGGCACGGTGCCTCATGACGTACATTCCGCTCTCACGACATGAGATGCAGCCTCAACCTGTCGCGTCTAATAATCTCAACAACTGCTCTCCATGTCGCTCCGCTACATCGGCCAGAAACTCGCGCAGCAGATCGATGACGAGCTCATGTCCGCGTCCGGCGCGTTCTCCATTGACCAGGTGGGTCTTCCTCTTCACAACCCCCTCTCCTCCGTCCCGCACTTCCTCGTCCTCCC